TCTGAAAATCTGTAATCATACAATTTTCTGTTTTACAATTTAAAACACTCATTTTACATCCTTAAGATATCAATGACTTCCCTTCTTCTCTTTCCATGGTTCATTTTACACATGATAAATCCCTGCATATTTTACAAAAACTATACCATTCAGTGTTCCATTACTGCATCCATCCAAACTTGTTTACACTGTTGAATTTATCTTAATGCTGCCAGTGTTTTCATTGGTACACAATTATTTCCCATATATTCAATAAACATTTTCTAATCTTCTTTAGACGTATGTTCTTCTTATTCTCTTATTCTATATGTTAAGTCTGCAAGTTGTGCATATTCTGTCAACTTAAGTTGCCATTCTTCTTTGGTTGGGACCTCGCTCGTTTTCCATTTTGGGGGCTAACAAAATACGGGTCGCCGTAGTGGCATACATAAATAACCTTTTTTGACACCTGGGAATTTCAATCTGAGAGGGGGCCTTCTCAGTGGCAGCTGCCAGACTTTGCCACTCCCTCCCTGGAAAAGCCATACTGGGTCTCTCCTTGCTGTTCTTCGACTGACAGGTGGAAGAACTTTTGGGAACCGACTGCTTTTAATGAAAGGGCTGATGCTTTGCTGTTTTCATTGTAACCATTTGTATCATTTTAATAGATTTTAATACATTTTATCTCACAGATAAGATAAACGCATGTGGACAGGTCTCTCAATGGCTACCAGCTAACTGAAGCTTACCAATAATAATAATAATAATAATAATAATAATAATAATAATAATAATTTATTTATTAATTTAATTTAAGTGGCTTCCCCAGCCACTCTGGGCGGCTTCCAACAAAATATTAAAATACAGTAATGCATCAAACGTTAAAAGCTTCCCTAAACAGGGCTGCCTTCAGATGTATTCTAAAAGTCTGGTAGTTGTTGTTCTCTTTGACATCTGGTGGGAGGGCATTCCACAGGGCGGGTGCCACTGCTGAGAAGGCCCTCCACCTGGTTCCCTGTAACTTGGCTTCTCTCAGTAAGGGAACCGCCAGAAGGCCCTCAGCGCTGGACCTCAGTGTCGGGGTAGAACAATGAGGGTGGAGACGCTCCTTCAGATATACTGGACCAAAGCCATAGCAAATGCTTGCAAATATATATTGGTGGGAGAGAGCAGTTGTATTTGTGTCGTGTTTGAGGGCTTCCGAGAGTCACTTGACTGACCACTAATGGAAAGAGGATATGGTGCCAGATGGTACTTTGGTTTGATCCAACCAAGCTCCTGTGTTCAAATGCTGCTCTTATGACCTTATGGTTAAAAGCTCTTGCAATTAGGGTGACTTCCGTCTTCTGCTACATTTTTAGCCATAGCCAGAGAAGATAAAATTAGTGAGGGATGCAAATCAACCGCCCCTCAACTTGTATTGACACGGTACATCTCAAGCGTGTCACAGGCGCACAATCAGCGCACTAACCACAAGTAAATAACTTCTAACAGGGAAAGCTATTTGAGTCTTGGAACTTGATTTGCATTTTGATTTGCCAAACATATATATTAATTCTTATTTATACTTTTCAAATTTATACATTTCACTAATTTTACAATCACATAGAGAGTCTCCCACTCTGCCAATCCTCAAACATTCACCACTCTTTCACTCAGTGATAATGGTGGGAAGTATGATGGAGAAATGTGCTAAGAGGAAGGCACGCTTGGCAAACCCTCACCATGATCAACTCCTGCCCAGAAACCTATGTCCCCACTGTAGAAGGACGTGTGGATCGAGAACTGGCCTCCACAGTCACTTACGGACCCACTGTTAAGATTGTGTTCATGGAAGACAATCTTACTCAGCTACGAGTGTTTGCCAAACAGAAGATAGATGATAGAGATAGATTAGATAGATTAGATAGATAGATAGATAGATGATAGATAGATAGATACTGCCTTATAAGATGCAATACATACAAGATACAATATATATATAGAGAGAATGATTTCCAAGCTTTCACTATACACTATATTTTATATTTTACAAAATGGTGGGGCATGTACATACCCTCTCTCTATGCACAGATTATTAAATATCCACCAGTACTTATTAACATAGGTAAGTAGGTAAACAGTAAAGGACCCCTGGATGGTTAAGTCCAATCAAAGGCGACTATGGGGTTGCAGTGCTCATCTTGCTTTCAGGCCGAGGGAGCTGGCATTTGTCCACAGAAAGAGGATCAGTGGTTTAGACCACAGTATATGTCCTACCTATATGATCAAAGTGATCAAGGTGCACTCAGGAATGAATCATAGAATCTTAGAGTTGGAAGGGACCCCGAGGGTCATCCAGTCCAACCCTCAGCAATGCAGGAATCTCTGCTAAAGCATCCATGACAGATGGCCATCCAACCTCTACTTAAAAACCTCCAAGGAAGGAAAGTCCACCACCTCTAGTGGGAGTCTGTTCCACTGCTGAACAGCTCTTACTGTCAGAAAGTTTTTCCGAATGTTTAGTCAGAATCTCCTTTCTTGCAACTTGAAGCCATTGGTTCGAGTCCTATCCTCCAGAGCCACAGAAAACAAGCTTGCTCCAACTTCCATGTGACAGCCCTTAAGATATTTGAAGATGGCGATCATATCTCCTCTTGGTCTCCTCTTTTCCAGGCTAAACAAACCCAGCTCCTTCAAGTGCTCCTCATAAGGCTTTGTTTCCAGAACCTTTTCATCTTGGTTGCCCTCCTCTGCACACGTTCCAGCTTGCCAACGTCCTTCTTAAATTGTGGTACCCAGATTTGGACACAGTATTCAAAGTGTGGTCTAAGGCAGAATAAAAAGGTAAAGGGACCCCTGACCATTAGGTCCAGTCGTGACCAACTCTGGGGTTGCGGCGCTCATCTCGCTTTATTGGCCAAGGGAGCTGGGGTTCAGCTTCCGAGTCATGTGGCCAGCATGACTAAGCCACTTCTGGCGAACCAGAGCAGCGCACGGAAACGCCGTTTACCTTCCCGCTGGAGCGGTACCTATTTATCTACTTGCACTTTGATGTGCTTTTGAACTGCTCAGTTGGCAGGAGCAGGGACCAAGCAACGGGAGCTCATCCCGTCACATGGATTCGAACCGCCAACCTTCTGATCAGCAAGTCCTAGATCTGTGGTTTAACCCACAGTGCCACCCGCGTCCCTAAGGCAGAATAGAGTGGTACTATTACTTCCCTTGATCTGGACACTACAGTGATACCTCGGGTTAAGTACTTAATTTGTTCCGGAGGTCCATTCTTAACCTGAAACTGTTCTTAACTTGAAGCACCACTTTAGCTAATGCGGCCTCCTGTTAAGCTTGTGGTCCACCAAGACCCCTAGACCCGTTTCACATGTACTGCTAGTAAGCCAGGTGTCTCCCATCCTATATTTCTGCATCTGGTTCTTCCTGGCTAAGTGCAGAACCTTACATTTGTCCCTATTGAAATTCATTTTGTTAGCTTACGCCCAGTTCTCCAATCTGTTAAGGTCATTTTGGATTCTGATTCTGGCTGTAGGCACATAACTGTTGTTTCAGACGAAGGTTCTACCCATGGTTGTGATAAGTGCGTGAGCTCAAGGTGTGCTTATGTCCCCCACAACTAGCAGAACAGGGATGGGAAACCTATGGCTCTCTAGAAGTTGTTGGACTCACAACGCCCATCATTGCCAGCCAGCAGAGCCAACGGTCAGGGATGATGGGTGTTGTAGTCAAATCTGGGAGATCACAGGTTCCCTATCCCCTTTGTTGCATTTGTACATTTCGTGGTACAGTTATGAATTGACCTTTTGTTTCTGTTCAAACACTGCTCAATGGTTTTCACTGCAGAACTGACACCTGCGTTTATCCTCACCGGCATTCTTCACCGAAATAATTGGTTTCTGCAATTCGCAGATGTTATGACTCAGACTGGCTTAAAAAGCTGTCAACATCTGATCCGTTAAGTGTTAATTATTCTCACTGGAGCCAGATGTTCTTCTCTGTTGCACATCAACATAGAAAAATAGCAACCAATAACAGCTGCACTGCTCTGATATGGTAAAATATTATTTACCGAATTTATATACCGCCCCATACCCGGAGGTCTTCAAAATATACACACAAACTAGTGTCCTGCGCTTTGCCCTGATGCGATGTAGAGGTCTCTTGGATATTCATGCTGTTCCAGTTATTTTTATGTCAGCGGAAGCAGCAGATCTGCACATGTGAAGAGTCTGGTTGTTATTAATTAATTAATTAATCTAGTTCAAGCCCCTGAAATGCACAAATTTTTCACCCAACACAGGACTTGAAGCCACAACCCTGAGAATCTCATGCTCTAACAGTGAGTTAAGCATATCTGCAAAAGTCGGTCCTACATGTCTCGGGAAAAGCCAACAATCTCATAAGAATCTTTCACATTCTGATAACTGGTCATGAGGAAGTGACCAAAGGTGGAGAATCGTAAGTTACAAATCTTTTGCCCCAAGTGCAGAGCTGCACAGAAACAACCTGCCTTTCCCATATCCATCGGGTCCAAAACCAGCTAAACACCAATACGGAATATACCATTTCTACTATCTTTTCCAAACATATACAAACCCAGAATCTCCAAGTGTCCCTATTTTCCAGGGATGTCCCTGATTTAGAGAAGCCGTCCTGGTTTCTGATTTGATCCCGGAATGTCCCACTTTTCCTTAGGACATCCCTATTTTCATCAAAGAAATGTTGGAGGGTATGCAGTTATCCAACCCCCAAGCCGCCTGAAGGCAACCCTGTATAGGGAAGATTTTTTTTTTATTGTTTTATGATGCTTTTGTGTATGTTGCAAGCTGCCCAGAGTGGCTGGGGCAACCCAATGGGATGCGCCAGGTATAAATTGTAAAATTATCATTATGCAATGGGACGCTATATTTCAAAAATATAGGACACCCCAAAAGTTGCTGAGCTTTCTTTAGGAAGACCCCAACATTGTTTAGCTTTTTTACAAAAACACCTCCAAAAACCCCCCAGAGATTTTTCTATTGATTTGCCTAAGATCCAGGACAAAGCACCACCTTTCAGAAATTCCCCCAGGACTTCAATGCACCTTTGAAATCCTGTTAATGTCCAGGGAAATCTGGACATATGGCAGCCCTAAGAGAGAGCAATGGAGGGATGTGTGAGAAAACAGGCCTCCAGACCTGACTTTTCCTTCCCCTGCCTTTGTGCCTCTTAAGAGTATTCAGGTTGTCTTGATCTTCTAAACCCACAGCGAAACCCACACAGGCAGAGCTGAGAAGCCCTCAGGAAACTGACACAAACTCAGCTGCCGACTTATCTCTCTCTCCTCCTTCGCTCTTCCCTTCACACCAGTTTCTTCTCTACTGAAGCTAGTAAAGGGCGGTGGTGCTTATCTGAAAATTAAGCTGAAATTGGCTTCTTTTTTGCTGCTTGAAATGGTCAATCATTGCAAAACGATGACTGCAAGGGGAATGGAGAATGGGCCATAATTTTTAATTATTGCCTTCCTAAGGACACTGTTCGTTGCCAAAGTTTACAAGTGACCCTGTTTATCATCCTGAATCTGGTAAGTAGGTCCTTCCTTCCTTCCTTCTTTCCTTTCTTTCTTTTCTTTCTTTTTTTCTTTCTTTCTGAAGGTCCATCTACCCACTTTCCTTGCTGATTATTAAGGATATTTCCAAGCACTCCCGCTGAACGTCTCCACCTCCATCGTTCAGCCTGGACACTGAGGTCCACTTCTGAGGGTCTTCTGGCGATTCCCTCACTACGAGAAGCCAAGTTACAGGGAACTAGGCAGAGGGCCTTCTCAGCAGTGGCGCCCTCCCTGTGGAATGCCCTCCTGCCAGATGTCAGGGAGATAAAGAATTGCACAACTTTTAGAAAGCATCAGGGAAGTTTTTAATGTCTGACATTTTGTTATTTTTTATATTTTGCTGGAAGCTGCCCAGAGTGGCTGGGGAAACCTAGCCAGATGGGTGGGGTATCAACAATAAAATTATTATTATCATTGTTATCATTATGATGATGATGATTTGAGTGGGACTTGAAACAGAGCAGTTTTGTCTAATTGCCTTCTTCATTTCTATAAAAATTATTGTCATAATAACAAAAAAAAGAAAAGAAAAGAAAGGATGATTGGGGGGCTGTCTGCTAGCTTGTTTGATTTTTTAAAAAATATATTTTTATTGAAGATTTCTTAGTTTACAAAAATATGTGAATTGTCTCTTGACGTGTAGTGAGAGTCATAGGTTTGTATACGTTCGGCAGCTCTGCCTGTGTACGACTCCCCCAGTATCGCACAGCAGAGGACTGTTGGATCCGGGACGAAGTGCAAAGCAAAGATTTAAAGCAAAGTTTTGACAATTAGCGTGATTTGGGTTGCTACAGTTTAAATATGTTGTCAACTTGAATCTCATTCGTACGCCGCCTCTATGTGTACGGCACTTTACGGAGGAATCAAGAAAATGCAAGTTGCTAGGCAGAAAAGTTTGCAATGTACCCTTTGCTCAGGCCTGGCAATAAATTGAGGAGGGCATGTTGTCACTTCAGGCTATAATCCTCTACTTTTGAGTAGGCCCCACTGAGCTCAATGGGACTTACTTCTGAGTAGACATATATAGGCTTGCCCTATTGGCAGGCATACTGAGAATTACAGTGGTACCTCGGGTTAAGTACTTAATTCGTTCCGGAGGTCCGTTCTTAACCTGAAACTGTTCTTAACCTGAAGCACCACTTTAGCTAATGGGGCCTCCTGCTGCTGCTTCACCGTCGGAGCATGATTTCTGTTCTCATCCTGAAGCAAAGTTCTTAACCTGAAGCACTATTTCTGGGTTAGCGGAGTCTGTAACCTGATACATATGTAACCTGAAGCGTATGGAACCTGAGGTACCACTGTATAAGGAAGCTGCTTTATATTGAATCAGACGCTTGGCAGCATCTTTCCAGGATTTTCTCTCAGCCCAGGTTCTCACCTGGAGATGCTAAGGATTGACCCAGCAATTTGTGCATACAAAGCAAACACGCTTAACACTGCTCTTCCCCAGCAGGGGATGAGGACTAAAGGGTTGGGCCAAATGCTTTGAGGGAAAGGTGAATTTTGAGTGGAGATTTGAAGAGAGATAGCATTGTGCTGGTTTTTGGGGAAGCAGTTCCAAGCAGGAAGGGACAGGATGGGAGAAAGGATGGAGTCATTTGAGGATGCAGAAGAAGGGGCCTTCTGACTCCTCAGGGTGGTGGAGCCGCAAGAGCAATGGGGCCCCATGAATGGGACATGTGTGGTCAATTAGCACCGATTCAAAACTATCACTATTTCAGAATAAACTTCAACCGTAGTTCATGAGGTTTAGACACTCTACAGCCTTTCCTATACTGTTGAGTGTTGTTTGGCTAACCTTTAGGGATTCCACACTGACCCGCCAAGTGTCCCTATTTTCCAGGGACAGTTCCGGATTTACAGAAGCCATCCCGGTTTCTGATTTGATCCTGGAATGTCCCGCTTCGCCTTAGGATGTCCCTATTTTCATCAGAGAAATGGTGGAGGGTATGGAGTTATGAGGCCGATGAGATAAGTAATTATACAGCATTTAGAAGACATCTGAAGGCAGCCCTGTATAGGGAAGTTTTAAAATGTTGCGTTATGTTTTATATATGCTGGAAGCTGCCCAGTGGCTGGAGCAACCTAGTCAGATGGCTGGCTATGATGATGATGATGGAATAGGACATTCCTATTTTCATTGGAGAAATGTTGCGAGGTTATGCAGCGATGGAGATGCGAAGCCAAATATACCAGCAGTAGAGGGCACAATCTCATCCCAGTGATTTCAATGGAAGATGTTTAAATATATGCTTATCTGCCCCTTTGAAATTAAAAGACTTTGCGGCCACTTAACTGGTTGGATAAAGCACACGCATGCATCCATACCATATATTTGCCAGCTCAAGTTTATGCATTTTTTGTTGTGGGTCCAACTCAATTAAACTCCCTCCCATCAGAAATCAGGCAGGCACTGCCCTGTTGTTTCAGACACCAGGTTAAGATGGTTTTATTTCAGGAGATTTTTGCACCCTGAATTTTGTTCTTATGTTGTATTTTCCAGTGTTCTAATGTGGGTTTTTAATTTTACGTATCGTATGTTTTTATTTTCATAACTCACTCCGAGTCCCGCAAAAGCCTTCTTTGGAATCAATAGTAACACTGCGGAAAGAGCAACCTCAATCGGGATATTTTGTCCTAAATTCAGATCGTGTTCAGAATACATGCAGAAATAGATTCATCTTAGGGGGTAAAGGAAGCCGAGGAAGGCAATCAATAGCTGATCTTATTTTGGATCCTGAAACGTTTGGGAGGAAAGATCAGGGAGGGATATGATGTCAAACGTGCCACGCAGAATAACCTGGAATAAACAGGCAAAGAAAGAGAAATGTTCCCCTCTGCCGCCATGTATAAAACAATCTAAATGATGAGAGGCCCCGCTACAGAATTAGGAGTGTAAAGCTGAAATCATCAGTCGGCTTCTGTGCATCTAAATCCATGTTAGATTGTAGCCTGGAGATTTTCACAGGTTACATGACTCTAATCTTGTCTACTTAGAAGTGAGCCCTACTAAATTCAGTGGGGCTTGCTCCCAGGTAAACGAGTTTAGAAATCCTGTCTTGTTCTGTAAGTGCTTACAGTTAATAGTTCTAACAAGCATGCTAGCATTTACTGTATTATTAGGATGTATTATTAAAGTTTGGGGTTTATTTTTTTAAAAAAGGTGTATATTTCTCTGAAATGAAACCTGGCCCATAGAAGTGACAGTGATACACCATCTTCTTTTCTTCCAATTTGTACAATGAAATGCCATCGATTTAAATGGGAGAAAGTTAAGAATGCACTTGAATATTTCACTGAAACCAATGAGATTTGAAGTTGCTCAATGTGATCCTGTCCTTATCTCCTGGTGAGCTGGTTCTTAAAAGATGAGTCGATGGTCATGATCCATAACTTAAGGATACAGCTGATGCCAAAATTTTAGCATCCACTGATGGGAGGTGGGAAAAGGCAACATTTGAAAGGAAGGCTCCCTAGTAAATTGGCTGAATGCTCTGTTCTAAAAGGCTGCCAACACAATTATTATTTTTCTTTCTAGCGTTGCCACACTTCGCCCCTATATTTTATAAAGTGTGTGTGATATGTGCACATATACAAACATGGCTGAAGTTCCAGATTCTTCTCTGAATCAAACAAGTTGATAACGTACAGAATACTAAGCAATGTGCTTTGAGAATCTGACTATCAGTGGTCATTTTAAAAGACGCCACCAGACCTTACAAGGGAAAGATGGTTGCCGTCAGATACATTTTGTATCAAAAACCCAAGGACTGGGAAGTCAACGTGCCATTCCAAACTTTGGACCACAGTTTGCAGTGCTTTTTACACAGTCCATAAACCAGTGCAGTTAGGTGCATGAGCCTTAAGCCCACAGAAATCACTTATTTGTGAGAAAGAAAGGGGTCTACTGTCTCTTGCAGACCCTCCAAATGTCCCTATTTTCTAGGGACATTCCTGATTTAGAGAAGCCGTCCTGGTTTCTGATTTCATCCCAGAATGTCCCGCTTTTCCTTAGGATGTCTCTATTTTAATTTGAGAAATGTTGGAGGATATGGAATTATCTGACCCCCCAAGCTGCCTGAAGGCAATGGTGTATAGGGAAGTTTTTTTCTTAATGTTTAATGTTTTATTATGTTTTTATATATGTTGGAAGTCGCCCAGAGCGCTGGGGCAACCCAATAAGATGTGTGGGGTATAGATAGTAAAATTTTCATGATGGAATGGGACTTCCCCATTTTCACTGGAGACATTTTGGAGGGTATGCAGAGGTCCAGAAGAGCTCAGGCCACTTGCTGCTTTTGAGGCCCCTTGGCATAATAACAACTAAAAATGACAACACAGAAAAGCAAAATAAGGAACCAAAAATGATGTGGGGACACTTGGAGGGTCTGCCTCTGAGGAGGACTGAGGATTCATGCTTCTTCGACAGAATATGCATTTTAATCTAAGCTGCTCCCCACAGATTCTGTTAGATTGGGGCACACACAGGTTGGGAAACGAAGATATACCAGGGAGCCCAGGTGGTTATAGACATGGTGTCAAATACGTGTAGCGGCCTGATTGAAAAACAGATGGGTTTGGCTAGCACCATAGGTCAGTGCTGTTTTTTTAAAGGCGGAATTGACATCCGGGAGAATCTCCAAAAGATGACCCCTTTTCCTGGATCTTTTTACGGCCATTTTGTAAAAGAAGCTCGACAACAACTCCGGGTTTTCCTTAAAAAGCTCAACAATTTTGGGGTGTCTTGGCCTTTTACACCAAGCTCATATCCTTCTGCCTAGTGACCACACAATTCAAAAGCATCGGGTGTGATGTCAGTGTGGCATAGCTGTGAGTCTAGAGGCGCCACTTGCCCTATCTATGATGGTTTCTCTTCCTTCTCCTAAAGAGGAGTCAGAGAAGCAATGCAGTCCCATTGCGGACAGCTCAGTCTCTGAGTGCATCTGCAGATTATAGGTTAGGTTCTCTGTAAACAGCATCTGAATCTTGCATCCCACAAGTACAATAGGAATATATCCTAAATGTGTTTATACACCTGTACCTACTGATTTATAATATGTCCTGGAACTGCTGCAAACGTCAGGTTCAAACTTCATAATCTGGAAACATACGGGTGTACCAGTAAATGACCCGAAAATGGCTACAGAGGTATGATTTTGCAATGTGGAAATGAAACAGATGAGCTGTGCATCTGAGCTGCACATATGGCAAAGCTCCTAGGAGCTTTCCCATCATTCACACACCCTGGGCTTGCCTCAGATTAATCCACGCACTGTAACCTTTTTGACAACTGCTTCTTTCCATTTTCAGTACAGAAAAGGAAGGTTACCATATTTTTACCAGGTCTCACTTATGCGCCTTTAAAAACAGCTCTAAAAGCAGAAATTTATCAGGCGGCGGTTTCCCCACAATCAATCTCCAGACCAAAACCCCCCCAAAACTCCTTCACCTCTTACATTTCTATGTGTCAGGCACTTCTTAAATGCACATGAACAATATCAGAAAAAAAGAGATGAAAATCTTAGGCCAAACTAAACATGACTTTGACCGTGCAGTTTGGTTTCGCATAGATTATTTTGGTTTAACAAAGAACTGCTTCAGGGGACCCCTGAGCCAGAGTAGGACCACTGATGCTTTCCTCCAGTTGCAATGCCAGGCAATTCAGATTAGGACGGAAGTGAGGAAAAGGGTTAAAGACCACCACCCCTCACCCCAATCCAGTTTCCCCCCTCTTCACCTCTAGTTATTATATAACTAACTAAAACAGCTGCACAAAGCCTAACTGTCCCACAAACTTCATGTCTCGCCTGACGCCTAGCAGAGAATGAAATGGTTGTGATTAAAGTCTACGTTAACATTCTCCTCCCATAGACCCAGAAATTCCTGTTTCCATAAGATTGCTTCGTAAAATAGAATGTCATTCTGCTAAGTGACCCGGTTTTTAAAAATTTTTGTTTTAGGGTAGGGGGAAGGAAGGAGTATTTCAAGAAGCCGTTTTGATCCAAAGCAGTCACTCTGGAAGACAGGTGTAGAGGAAGGTAAGGAGAACTGTGAACTGCGCTCACAAAGCAGGCATCTGAGGGGGTTGCTTCTTGCCTGTGGAAGTCCAGTGTACCATAAATTTATCAGGCTTTCGGAGGTTGTATTTAACTCCAGTCAGATTAAATCAAATAAACAAGGAATATTTGGTGTTCATGTTGGAGGGGATGCCAGAAAACAGGGAATTATGTTCATATGTGGTGGGGGTGTAATTATGTACATTTCTTTTTTTTACAAAAGGGTGTTTAAGGAGATAGCAGAAATCACTGGGTTAAACCTGACCAAAAGTCCAGAGGTAGCATTATTATCCATTTCCAATGGGGTGGAAGGTTCTCAGGCTATGAAGGGCTTGCTCACAAATTTATTGACAGCTGTACGAATTATGATAGCTAGGAAGTGGAAGGGGCAAGCAGAATATAAAACAGAAGAATGGTATAAAGAGGTGTGGGATAGAGCTATTAATGATGATGATGATGATGATGATGATGATAATAATAATAATAATAATAATATTTATACCCCGCCCTCCCCAGCCAAGACCAGGCTCAGGGCGGCTAACAACCAATAATAAAAACAAGTTGATTAAAATACAATTTAAAAGATTAAGATACAACATTAAAACATTTGGGTGCAATCTCTTCATAGGAGGAGAAAGGAAAAAGAAAGAGGGGGAAGGAATAAAACTGATTCCAAGCCAAAGGCCAGGTGGAACAACTCTGCCTTACAGGTCCTGCAGAAAGAAATCAGATCCCGCAGGGCCCTGGTCTCATGAGACAGAGCAAAATTAACATGTTTATTAATGATAAATTAACATGTGCCATTAAGGTAACGTGCAATAAGGAATATGCAGGAGAAATGATGAGATATGGAGGGTGTTTATAGAATCTGTACTGATAAAACGGAAAGGGGTCAAACCATCGCAAGAGGTGTTTACATCTTGGGAGCTTGGATAGTTACAGTGGAATGGTCTCGGTGGTGGGGTGCAAATTTTTATTCTTATCTATTTATGATTATTACTTTGTCGAACTAAAATTATAAATTTTTTTATCAGGCTTTAAGATGGATTGATGTGAACAATGCAGCGTGACCACCTTTCATTGCTGTTTTTAGTTAAAAGCAGCTGGGCAAGTGTGGGTGGCTCTGAGTTTGCTTTCAGTGTCCCAGGGAGTGGGTTAGCTCTTTCCACATGTCATTTCCCTGACCTGGTCCCGCATCCTGAAGCCATTGTTGCAGATTTGTGGGTTGAAGATGTGCTGCAGCTACTAATAGCAGTTTATACGTATGCATGTGTTCAGCTAGGGGTGCCATATGCCCAGATATTTTATTATTTCTTTCTTTTATTTGGACCATTTATATACCGCTCGTAGTTAGACAAAGCTCTTTAAGCGGTTTACAACACAGGTTAAAACATCTTAAATAAACAGCAAATACCGAAACAAAAAGGAGAGGATATCTGTAAAACTTAAAATAAACAGAGCATCCTCGTCAGTATAAAAATAAACATTGCCACAGAAAAATCAGCTGCAAAAAATGCAAGGAAAATCCATGGCAAAGGACTAAATCCAAGTAATGATCAGGAAGAAAAATAATTAAAAATGAAAATGAGCTAAAAAGCATACATTTCACCTTAAAAAACACACAAAAACCTGATTCACAACGAAGCAAAAGAAAATGTACAGCACTTGTATAGATTTCCCATAGATCAGTGCTGTTTCAAATATACTCTAAATGGTAATCTGACCAGTGCAGGGCTGCCATATGAGTGTTTGTAAAAACTTTTGGTGTTTCCTAAGAAAAAAGCTCAACAATATTGGGGTGTTACTTTTTGAAATATGGCAGTAGTAATAGTAATAATAATAATAATAATAATTTTATTATTTATACCCCACCCACCTACCCCAGCCACTCTAGGCAACCCTAGGACTTGTCCACAATTGAGCAAAAAGTAAACCGCATCACCATTTGTCCTGGACTTTTTACCCTTAACTGCAGGGTTTTTCCGACTCTGGTCAGATTAGACTTCCCAAGGATTTTTTATTTATTTTTATTTTTAAACCTCTGCATTTAAAGGGAGAAAGACTTTTCGGAGTACAATCTGGAGTCTAGGCAGGGAAATGAATATTGTTTTATTACCTTTAGAGCCAAAGATGCTACTACTGAGTTATTTAAAGGGATTACACTGAAGGATGTTGACTTGGAAATGATTGTTAACCTCCTTATCAGTGTCAGGATCCGTATAGCAGCAAACTGGAGGTGAAATTTCACTCCGTCAATTCTTGGAATGATGTAATAGAAAATGGAATATAGTAATACTATTTAAATTAACTTACCGAAGAAGGAGTAACAAACAGCAATCAAGTAAGTTTGGTAAAAGATGGGTTTTAATTAGGATGCTCCGGAATAAAAGAAGCAGGACAGTGTTCAGCCTTATGCCTCCTTTGCTGTATAAGTTGTAACGCATGTGCTTAAAAGGTACAAAATCTTACAGCCAAAGGTCTTGGGCTGACCCTTCAAATGATATAGCACACAGTTTACAGTATGAAGGCCATTTTTAGGCAAGTGCAGAAGCTGAAATCCGTCTTTTTTTCCCATTCATGACTTTTCATGAAAGGCTTTTGAGTGGTTTGAAGAGTCAGCGAACCGCTCCATAAACATTAAAATTCAAGGTTCTGTTTCCCTTCCCAGTTTAATTACTCAGAAATAGCAATGGGTTCTTTTGTTTATTTATTCATTTTCCAAAATTGTATACAGCTTCATTGTTAAAAACCTCATACCTCTAAGTAAAATATGCATCAAAATGATCAATCAAAGTCAGAAGTTGAAACAAGCTGACCTAAAAAATCCCAATTATACATAAAACCAGTGCTTTGATAATTCCACAAGGTAAACACACATACATACATACAGTGCTTTTTTCTGGTGGGTACGCATACCCCTAAACATTTTGTGAATCTTTGTACTTTTGTCCATTTACTGTATTTATTTCCCCCGATTTGAACTATAAAATGTTGATTTTCTTGAGTCAAAATGAGAGTAACCCTAAACAATTTCTGAAAGAAAAAAAGCACTGCATAAAACCAGTAGTCAAATGTGTGTGTGAGAGAGAGAAAGAGAGAAGAAAATGGCCTATCAAAATGCCTGTCAACCTTACATATTTTTCCCGCTCTTGTACTGACTGCATGGTGGGTTGTTCTGAAACTGCTCCTCTGAAGAGCTCCAATCTCTGAGAGACTTTGCAGCCTCCCTACTTTTATTGTGCAAGTCTTTTCTAACTTGTTGAAACAGTGGTGGAGTTCATTGCACATTGGAAGCTATTAGAAAAGTCTGCTGTGAAAACTTTAGTGAACCTGTTTGCTGCAGACTAGAATCCTCAGGTCCACAGTCAGATTACCGAAGCAGGGGGAAAAATATGAGGGGAAGCAGTGATGCGAGTCTTGGACAAGTCTGAAGCTTCTCACCGGCCCTTTTATTTTAAGCTGCAGCTGTGGAATGAAAGTCAGAACTAACAATGGAAGAAAAAAGTGGTTAAATAGTACTAATGTACTATGTCCATGAATGCACAAGTAAAACGGGGCTTCCTTTCCCTATACAGACCTACCTGTCATTGCTGTTCACTGTTGCTCCGTATTAATTTCATACATGACCTAATCATTAGCCTTTCTAAGTGGTGTGCATAAAAATAAACCATGCAGAAAACCAACACTGGGAAAATTCTTCCTATAAACCAGACAGAGAACAAATACTAGTGTAATGGGTTCACAGATACAAGAAAGCCTTTACTTGAAGGTTCAGCAAGGAGGGTGCCTGCCTAATCTCTCTTTTTTAAAAAAATAATTATTTGGTTTTTCAGATTAAAGTTTTACAATCATATATCCAACACACAAAAACAAGATTCCAAAGAATCTCCTGGACTTCCCCCCTTCCCTTTGTGGGTATTATTGTTAATCTTTTCCTCCTGCATCTTTTTTAATAATCCAATTATTTTACCTCTCCATTGTGTCCAAAATTCACCATTAAACTATAAGTGTTATTCCAATCCTACTAACAATTTTAACTGTTTACAAGGGTTTTTAAAGATAAGTTACAAAATTTCCCCCATTCCTTATGAAGATTTTGGTTTTTCTGATTTCTGATTCTTCTGGTCATTTTAGCCATTTTGGCATAATCCATCAATTTAATCTGCTATCATTTTTTCTGGTCGGGACTTTACCTTCTTTCCATGTGCCTGCCTGATCTGTTGTGAGGGACTTCCTTGGGTACGGCCCTGAATGCACGAACTTACAGGCAAACACTAAAAGCAGCTAAAAAGGGCTTTAAGAGCAGTCCAAATGGCAGCGGCTGACAATAGGTTTAAACCAGGGGTCAGCAAACTTTTTCAACAGGAGGCCGGTCCACTGTCCCTCAGACCTTGTGGGGGGCCAGACTATATTTTGAAAAAAAATATGAACGAATTCCTATGCCCCACAAATAACCCAGAGATGCATTTTAAATAAAAGGACACATTCTACTCATGTAAAAACACGCTGATTCCCGGACCATCCGCGGGCCACATTTCGAAGGCGATCTGGCCGGATCTGGCCCCCGGGCCTTAGTTTGCCTACCCATGGTTTAAATGATGTGATGCGAAATTAGAACCTGTGGCAAGCAGGGGCGTGGGGTGAAATTTTGCATAGGGGGACAGTTAGGGCCAGAGCTGTCAGCTTGCAAGGGCAAATTGGGCGTTGATGTGCGCATGAGCATCGTGAGCCTCTGACGGGATGCCAGAGCCCTCCTGCTTCCTTCTCAAAGGCGGGTGGGCTATGGGATTGTGGCAGGATGGCTCTTGGACCCATCAGAGAATTGTCCCAAGCTGGGCAGAAGCTTCCTGGATTTTGGGACGGAGGCTCCAGGGGAACATTTAGGGGACTGGCCTAGCCCCCCTAAACCACACACCACTGGTGGCAAGGGACTCTTCTCATTCATCTGGAAAAGCCGACCCTGACAAAAACTTCTCCCAGAAAGTAGAGACTGTGGGAATCTGTCATATCTCAGACAGGGATGCTTTTCCGCAGGCTAGGGGCAGCCACTGTTCTGAGTTACTGTGGAGCAGGATTCTGGTATTATGAAGAGTTTAATGAGAAACTTTCTTGCAGTGTGCAGTGACCTACCGGGTAATATAGGGGAGAGCTTATCTTCTTTAGAGCCCATTCTTTTGGGATCTAAACCTTGTTATATATATATAAAAGGTAAAGGGACCCCGACCGTTAAGTCCAGTCGCGGACGACTCTGGGGTTGCGGCGCTCATCTTGCTTTACTGGCCGAGGGAGCTGGTGTACAGCTTCCCGGTTATGACCAAGCCGCTTCTGGCGAACCAGAGCAGTGCATGGAAACGCCATTTACTTTCCCGCCGGAGCAGTACCTATTTATCTACTTGTACTTTGACGTGCTTTCGAACTGCTAGGTTGGCAGGAGCAGGGACCGAGCAACGGGTGGGTGGGTGTGTATACACACACACACACACACACACACACACTTGTGTTCCATTGCTACTTTATTTTTGTTTTGGGTTGCCAAAAAGTGAAAATCCGGACACAAATGCTGTTGAGGTTTTTTTTTGCAAAAATTGCCAAAGAATCAACACTTCTGATGTGTGTTTTCCTGGACATTATTGACACTTTCCCAAAATTACAACAATATAAAAAAAAATCATAGTATATCCAGCTAAAGGCAGGGCGTACAAAACCTAAATGTATTAAATGACAACCTTTGTTTTAGGATATAATTAAACAACAAACTCATATCGGTTAATACCAATGTAGCTGTTTAACAGTCCTCCAGAGAATCCTGGGAATTCTTTTAGTGGGAGTCTTTTACCAGTTTGTGTCTGGGATAGACTTGCTCCTGGAATGCATCAGAGTAGATTTTTCTTTTGCACAGTCAATCTTTACAACTGATCCTTAGCTCCACCTTCGGTCCCTCCTGGCAGAACCAGAGGATTGTTGTGGCCAATCTACACAATTTGAAGAGCTGAGACAGTGCCAGATTCTCTCAAACCACCTCCTTCCTTTTTTCTCAGAGGCTTTTTTCTCACATTTCCTATTTAACACGAAAGCATGAGCATGGGAGCCCACAAGGGTCCCCAGCTGGTACACCTTCCTCTGTTACTGCTGCTTTTGTGCTGTACGTAAAATCGCATTGACACACAATGACCCTTTGCTATGATATGGCTGTAATAAAATTGCAGTCAGGCAAACTTACGAATTCTGAGCTTTTAAAAAGCACAACAAACATTTATGTATTTTTTTAAAACCATGCAAATAATATAAGCAAAGGGTGCAAAATAAACGCCCAAATTAATTGTGCTAAGAAACCTTTAGAAATGCAGAGGCAAGTCTTATAACTTTTAAAAGTAACGCTTACGTTGCTGCATGAGCTTTCAAAGGCAGATGCATCAAGTCGATAGTGAAGATGTTCCAGAGGGTTCACTGCATTGCTCTGTGGAAGCAAAAAAAGAAAAGAAAAGAAAAAGCAGGGCATCTTATATCACTTTAAAGACTAACACATTTATTATGCAATTATTGTTGGTTTTAAAAAATATATAATCCTGCTCTTCAGCCAAATCTCTAAAAAGAAATGAAAGAGAAACACAGTCCCTGCCTTCAACTTTATAACCTAAAAAAACATACAACACAAACAGAAAATGTATACCCTCCAACATTTCTCCACTGAAAATAGGCTGCTCTGGTTTCACCAGAAGCGGCTTAGTCATGCTGGCCACATGACCCGGAAAAACTGTCTGCGGAAGCAGACAAACGCCGGCTCCCTCGGCTTGTAAAGTGAGATGAACGCCGCAACCCCAGAGTGGACTTAACTGTCAGGGGTCCTTTACCTTTTTACCTACTCCACAACAACAACAACAACAACAACAACAACTTTTATATCCTGCTCATCTGACTGGGTTGCCCCAGCCACCCAGAAAGTAGGTGATGACAAATACAAAACGACTGAATTACAGTTCCGTTGTAAAATCAATGGATTTTATCACACTGCCTGTGCTAGTTGGATTACCAATGCCACAATATCTGTGCTATCAACACCTGTTTTATTTTATTTTTTTTAGAAAGTCCACTGTTAATAGGGTAAATCGTATTATTAACAGTGGCCAGTCCCAGGAAACAGTTCTTAATAACACAGACATCCTACCACTGTTGTCAATTAACACAGGTGGTACAAATTTTGACCTCACCAGAAAGAGGAAGACAAAGATATAGTTGGATATACATTTCTACATGTGTGTGTATGTGATACACAAACGCACAAACATACACATGGGCGGGGGGGACTTTAAACAGTGAGTCCAAAAGGAAATGAGCTACAGAAATATATAGACAGTGGTCATCACCTGCAACTCAGGTTAACACTTCGTGAATCTGTTTATATGTAGTCTAGAAATATATTGGTCTTGAAGGCACTACAACAGCCCTTCTTGTTTCTAACGCTTTATTCCAGGGTTTCGAGAGGCTATTCAATACATAAGTAACGCCAAATCAATTTCATTTCCATTGTAATTCACTGATTTATATTGCAAACTGCCTTGTGATCCTCAGATGAAGGGCAGCCTTGAAATTTAATGAGTAAAATAAAAATGATAGCAAATGGGCATAAGCTGTTAATGGATGAGCAGCTACAGATTTCAAATCTAGAGGAGGCTCCTGTTGGCTCATTTATGACAGCAAATCTAAAATCCCTTGCTTTTTAAATCCATCTCCTATCTATGATCTCTCTCTCGCAAACACTTCCTCCCGTTAACATGAAAAACTGAGCATAGAGATGCTAATCTTCCGACGCCATCTGTTTTTCTTTTCTGTAGTGCAGGGGAAAGGCAGCCTGTGGCTCTCCAGTTATCGTTGAGGAAAGGCTGTGTTCTCTGTTGTTGTTGTTTAGTCATTTAGTCGTGTCCGACTCTTCGGGACCCCATGGACCAGAGCATGCCAGGCACTCCTGTCTTCCACTGCCTCCCGCATGCTGGTCAAACTCATGCTGGTAGCTTCGAGAACACTGTCCAACCATCTCGTCCTCTGTCGTCCCCTTCTCCTTGTGTCCTTTCTCAACATCAGGGTCTTTTCCAGGGAGTCTTCTCTTCTCATGAGGTGACCAAAGTACTGGAGCCTCAGCTTCACAATCTGTCCTTCCAGTGAGCACTCAGGGCTGATTTCCTTCAGAATGGAGAGGTTTGATCTTCTTGCAGTCCATGGGACTCTCAAGAGTCTCCTCCAGCACCATAATTCAAAAGCATCAATTCTTCGGCAAGCTCTCACTTCCATACATCACTACTGGGAACACTACTGTGTTACCTACTTGCATGCAAAAGGTCTCAGATTAAATCCCCCATGAGGCTGAGAGGGACCCTGTCTGAAAAATCCTGGATGTCATGGGACTGGTTAGGCACAGAGGAATGGTGGTAGACACTAGCTGGGGAACCCCCAAGGCAAGAAAGCTCAAAGCCTTGGGAGTGGTGGTGGGTCAGCAATGAGTGGTCAGAAGGAGAAGAGGGAAAAGACTGGGAGGAGGAGGTTCAGAAGCTGAAGAGAGTCTGTGGCAGAGAGCTGTCCAGAATCAAAGTCAGGAGAGGTCAAGAGGTGGAGATGAGTCAGCCCAGGGTGTCTCCTCCTGCTGCTTCAACACTCTGGTCTCTCCCATGATCTCCCAGGACCAGAAGAGGTATGAAGAGGGAACAGCAGAGACAGGCACGCTGACCTAGTCTCAGATTTCTTGTACAGTGGTACCTCAGGTTAAGTACTTAATTCGTTCCGGAGGTCCGTTCTTAACCTGAAACTGTTCTTAACCTGAAGCACCACTTTAGCTAATGGGGCCTCCCGCTGCTGCCGTGCCACCGGAGCACGATTTCTGTTCTCATCCTGAAGCAAAGTTCTTAACCTGAGGTAATATTTCTGGGTTAGTGGAGTCTGTACCTGAAGTGTATGTAACCTGAAGTGTATGTAACCTGAGGTACCACTGTAGAGGTAAAAGGTAAAGGACCCCTGGATGGTTAAGTCCAGTCAAAGGCTACTATGGGGTTGCGGTGCTCATCTCGCTTTCAGGCCAAGGTAGGCGGCATTTGTCCACAGACGGCTTTCTGGGTCATGTGGCCAGCATGACTAAACTACATCTGGCGCAACAGAACACCAGAGCGCACGGAAATGCCGTTTACCTTCCCGCCACAGCGGTACCTATTTATCTACTTCTACTGGCATGCTTTCGAACTGCTAGGTTGGCAGAAGCTGGGACAGAGCAACAGGAGCTCACTCCGTTGCGGGGATTTGAACCGCCAACCTTCTGATCGGCAAGCCCAAGAGGCTCAGTGGTTTAGACCACAGCGCCACCTGCTTGGGAAGGATGTGGAGGAGAAGGAGATTTAGGCAGCTGTGGGAAGGTGAGGACCTTCAGCCTCCACAACTGCCCCATGGGGGCAAGACTCACAGAGAAGGGTTGCTGTGCTCAATAGGCATGGCTCCCTGAGCAAGCCTTGTTTCTTTGAATGAAGAGTTAACTTACCCCGTGCGATTTATTGCTGGCTGGCTCCCTGTCACTGGAGTACTGCTGCCAGCCAGTGTAGGCTAGGCATTAAAGAGCTAGCTAGACCAATGGTCCGACTCAGTACAAGACAGTTTCTTATGTTCCATGATCCTTGGTAAAGGGTAGGGCATTGCTTTGCATGAAGAAGGGCTCAGTTTCTTTTTTCTTTTCAAGACATTTTATTAATTTTACAGATAAAAATATACAAATAAACACACCTCAATAAAATCATGCTGTATGTAGAGATTCTCCGAATCTCACGACTTCCCCCCATCTCGTCCATGGAGTCTTATCTTAAACGTCTACAACTGCATATTAGTCCATACTCCAGTTTTTATATTAAACCATATTATTCATAGTGTTTTTTACACTACAAGTGAGTCAAAATCCTGCTCTTGTTTCCATCTGCTTACAGTGGTCTCCTAGATAACTTATAAATTCTTCCCATTCTTTTATAAATTTTTTGTCCTCTTGGTTTCTGAGTTTTCAGCTTTGCCTTCTTGGCATAATCCATCAACTTGGTTTGCCATTCTTCTCTGATAGGGACTTTATCTTCTTTCCATCTCTGGGCTAGTAGCATCCGTGCGGCTTTTGTTCCATACATAAAAAGTCTTTTCTGCTCCTTTGGAATGTCGGTACCTGTAATTCCTAATAAAAAAGCTTCTGGGGTTTTTTTTTTAATCAAAAGTTATTTTAAACATTTTATTATTTCATTATAAATCATCTCCCAGAAAGCTTTTATTACCTACAAGCCCACATATGATAAAAGGTACTTTTTCCCCCTTTAAATTTCCAGCAGATATTTGAACTTGTCTTGTACATTTTTGCTAACTTTGTAGCAGAAGGGGTCAGTTTCAATCCCTGCCACCTCCATGGTTTGACTTGTTCAAAGGCACCTTCCTATGTTCCAACTGAAATGAATTAATCAAGCTCTGTTAGCATAGCCTGTGGTCAGAAATGATGGGAGTTGCAGTCCGACAACATCAGTCTGTTCCCCCGCCCCCTTACTGTATGTCTTGTTTCCAGAGAAAACTCTGAAGTCTTAACTTGGCTGGTCTTCCTTCCTTTAACCTCCCTCATATTCAGTTAAAGTAGCTTTCTTTTTTTATATATATATAATTTTTATTAGTTTTTTTAACATATCATCTTCAACAGTAATTAAACATACTTTTACATCTTATTCAGATTTTTGACTTCCATCAATCCTGTCTGAAAATTTTCCAATCTAATCTCTCAATATGCATTTCTTATCTTCCCTATTACATTTCAAACTCATAACCAATATCTCTATCTTTTTCTACTTTGTAACACTTCGTATATTTCTCCTTACAAAACTTCTTATAGTCCTACTAGCGTAATTTGTTGATTACAGTTGCTCTTCAAATAATTCATATACTTCTTCCAATCTTCTGTAAATCTCTGGTCCCGCAGGTTTCGAATCCTTCCTGTCTTTTTGTCTAATTCTGCATAGTCCATGAATTTCGCCTGCCATTCTTCTTTTGTCGGACAGTTAAAGTAGCTTTCTGACATCATTTAAGTTTCCAGCGTTACGTTCTGACTGTTCCCTGAATGGATCTGCCAATCTGTTCACACGGCTGGTTCGCAGAAATAAGTGTCCCTTTCAAAAGCTTTCCAAGAAGGCTTGCGTGCTACGTTGGGTCAGACTATCTCAAGCCATTCATGTTGCACACATGCATAGCAGGAAATGCCTCTTCTGATGCAACGATTGCCTTATAAACGGTGACAAGCATAAGTCGGAGTGCTGGGCAGTCACGTCGCTGAGGATCAGACGTTGCCTACGAGAGGTTCACAATCTGCTCCAGAGGAATAGCTGTCTTGGTCTCTTAGCAGCAAAACCACAACTGCCAGCGGACCTTATTGTGGCCGGAGCTGTTAAGGCACTAACTGTACAGATGAAATGAATTTTGTTTGCCTTTGTGGTTAACGAGAGAATAAGGCACCTGGGTTGCAGTGACTCCTATGGGTAGGTAAGACGCATCTTTCTCATAAAAATGATAGGATTTAGTGCTGCTCCTGCCGAAGTCAATCGGAAAATGCCACGCTCAGTGGCATCTGAATGCTTTGGAAGTCCTTGTGTGGGGAGAGGGAGAGGGAATTTGTGAGACACCCAGGCAAATAAATGCTCAGGGAGGTTCACTTGGCACCTTCATTATACACCTTTAGGTACCAGGCAAAAGCATTCCTCTTTAACCAGGCCTTTGGCTGATTGACATCCAATGCCCTTTAAAAATGTGTTGTTGTTTAGTCGTTTAGTCATGTCCGACTCTTCGTGACTCCATGGACCAGAGCACGCCAGGCACTCCTGTCCTCCACTGCCTCCTGCAGTTTGGGCAAACTCATGCTGGTAGCTTCAAGAACACTGTCCAACCATCTCATCCTCTGTCGTCCCCTTTTCCTTGTGCCCTCCATCTTTCCCAACATCAGGGTCTTTTCCAGGGAGTTTTCTCTTCTCATGAGGTGGCCAAAGTATTGGAGCCTCAGCTTCAGGATCTGTCCTTCCAGTGAGCACTCAGGGCTGATTTCCTTAAGAGTGGATAGGTTTGATCTTCTTGCAGTCCATGGGACTCTCAAGAGTCTCCTCCAGCACCATAATTCAAAAGCATCAATTCTTCGGCGATCAGCCTTCTTTATGGTCCAGCTCTCACTTCCATACATCACTAATGTGTTAGGAGAGGGTTATTGGGTTGATTTTGTTTTTATTTCGAATGCAGATTTTGTGTTTTTATCTTGTGAACTGCGTAGGGTTGCCATATGCCCTCTTTTCCATGGGTAGAGTCATCATAGCGATCCATCCTTAAAAGGAGACGTCGGCAAATGTGTCCTCTTTTTTGCTCTTCAAAACATGGCAACCCTATTTGCGATTACAGTGGTGCCTCGCAAGACGAAATTAATCCGTTCCGTGAGTCTCTTCGTCTAGCGGTTTTTTCGTCTTGCGAAGCAACCCTATTAGCGGCTTAGCGGATTAGCGCTATTAGCGGTTTAGCGGCTATTAAAGGCTTAGCGGCTAAGCGGCTAAAAGGCTATTAGCGGTTTAGCGGCTTAGAAAAAGGGGGAAAGAAGCGAAAAAAATCTCAAGACTCGCAAGACATTTTCGTCTTGTGAAGCAAGCCCATAGGGAAATTTGTCTAGCGGGTTTTCCGTCTTGCGAGGCATTCGTCTTGCGGGGCACCACTGTAAAATGTGAAAGGCTAGCTACGGAAATGAATGAACTATGCAGAAATGGCGAAACTTACCGGAAGAACAACCTTCCTTTTTATTAAGGAATAGAAATCACTTATTGAATATTTACAAACAAATTATAAACAAATTAAGGCATGAGCAGGATTATTGCAAAAACTTGCAGTTTCTAAAACTTATATGAAACGGATGAAGAAAAGAAGAAATATATTGGGATATGCAGAGGGGGGAGAGTAAATTTAGGGAACCGCAGAAAGAAGGGGAGGGAAATCAAGGTTTGATATGTAAGAATTACTTTATTTTTTTCTGTTGATATATTTGTTTGTTTTAAATGAAAATTATAAATAATTAAAAAAAATGTGAAAGGCTAGAAGTAGGATATACTGTAAGTTAGGAGTAAGTGAGGAGACCCTGACAAGGAAGTAGTCTATCAAGGAGCCCCCAACTCCTATCCAGCAATAGGAAGCCTCTGGAGAGAGAACTTTGTGTGGCATTTTCTCTAAATTTTTGAAAAGCTGCATTTTTAAAAAGAAGACAACAATTGGAGCAGCTCACTTACAAGTGAGTGGCCACATTCTCTGTTCAGCTACAGGGAACAGTTTTTTTTAATTGTTTATTTGAATTTTCTGTTTTATCATATTATCAATGCATAGTATGTTACAGTCAAACACATGGTAATAAGAAAGGGGGGAAAGAACATAAGTATAAGACATATATTTGTAAATAATAATAGTAACATAACTTGTTCCTCCAATTTAATGAACTCTTATAAGCCTTAATTTAAACTCTCCTTCCACTCTTTCTCTGGTTCCCTATCTGTTGTCTTTTTGACTGCATTTTCTTATTTTACTAAATTATTTTCATTACCTTACACTGTCCCACTTTGTCACATCTACTGCTGAGTATTTCCCCCCGTCTGTTACACTTACTTTCTTGTTATCATATTTTTCCATATATTCTATATATAATGTCCAGTCCTCTTTTAAATCCTTACGTCTTTATTTCTTAATCTATTTGTCATGCTGGCAAGTTATATATATTCTAATATCTTAAAGGTGCCATTCTTCTCTTGATGGTACCACATCTACAGGGAACAGTTAATTCAGGGAGCATGGAAAGAACTTTGTGCGGCATCCAAAAATGGAGGCAGACTGTATTACAGTCACAAAATGATACGGTCACCTCTGTATTAAGCTTTGCTTTCCCTTTGAGTTGATGGTGGATACTTTCTCTGAGTTCTGTTTGTCTGTTTTCCTCTAAATTTTAGAAAACGGCATTGTTAAAAAGACGACAAATATTGGAACAGCTCACTAAAAAGCAAGCGGCCGCATTCTCAGCTACAGGGAACAGTTAATTCAGGGAGCTGCAGAGTGGAGTTGAGGGAGGCAAAATTGGCAGGTCAGTGGAGGATTCAGCACTCCACTGTTTTAAATGGCTTTTGCTGCTGCTAGACAGCTCAGTGGCAGACCTGAATTCTAACAGAAGGATCTAATGCTCACAGGGGAAGCAAATTGGGTGCCTTCTACATGTTTTTGGGACTACAATTTCCACCTTCCTGAACCATTGGGCTGATGGGAGTTGTAGTACGACGATGTCTGGAGGATCCGACATTGGCTTCCCCTCTAGAAGGTTCTCCTGATGGTGCCAGTATTTTGCCAGTACTTCTATCCCTTATGTATGGGGTACAGGTGGCGCTGTGGTCTAAACCACTGAGCCTCATGTTTGCCAATCAGAAGGTCGGCTGTTTGAATCCCTGTGATGGGGTGAGCTCCTGCTGCTCTGTCCTGGCTCCTGCCAACCTACCAGTTCGAAAGCACACCAGTGCAAGTAGATAAATAGGTACCGCTACGGCAGGAAGGTAAACGGTGTTTCCGTGAGCTCTGGTTTCCATCACGGTGTTCCACTGCGCCAGAAGCGGTTTAGTCATGCTGGCCACATGTACCGGAAAGCTGTCTGTGGACAAACGCCAGCTCCGTCGGTCTGAAGTGACATGAGCACTGCAACCTCATAGTCACCTTTGACTGGACTTAACCGTCCAGGGGTCCTTTACCTTTACGTACATTAGAAGCATGGTAGAAGTTTAAGAAAACGGACTTGGGTTGGAAAAAGAGCTAAAAGACCCAGCTTCAGATATGTGCTTGGCAACAAAGCTTACCAAGTGCTGATGGTGCACCAGAGGTAATATCTCACCTTCGAAGCTACCGCACAGGGGTTTTTATAAGGATGAAAAAAGGTGTAGGGAGAATTGTGCACGCCAACTGGACAGAGATAATCTAATCACAATAAATCTCTAATGACCTGTGACTTGCAACAAAAAATCACATCTGTGCTCTCTTCTTGTTTTTGTAGAGAACGTGTTTAACTCTCCGAAAAGCGTCGATATTGAGCGGGAGAGCAAATTCAGCTTCTGGAGCAAAACTGCCAAGAAAACACTGCGGAAACCTGGGCAGATTCCTACTGAATGGCGCTCACAGTAGCGGGACCCCAGGAAGTCCTCATCCAGGCTCTCTTTTAGAATAAGTAACCTTTGAGGAAATGTTGGATTCGGTCAAATGTGTCCTGGTAGGAGATGCGGCAGTCGGGAAAACGGCTCTGCTGCTGCGCTTTACTTCGGAGACTTTCCCGGACGCTTACAGACCCACTGTTTATGAGAACACCGGGGTCGACGTCTTCCTGGACGGCGCCCAGATCAGCTTAGGCCTTTGGGACACGTCTGGCAGCGATGCCTTCAAAGGCATCCGCCCCCTTTCCTACCAGCAGGCTGACGTGATTCTCCTGTGCTACTCGGTGGCCAACCAGAACTCGTTCCTTAGCTTGAGGAGCAAATGGGTTACGGAGATCCGGACGCACTTGCCTCGTATTCCCATTCTGGTGGTGGCTACCCAGATTGACCAGAGGGAGACGGGACCTCACAGCGCCTCCTGCATCAGCCCGCTGCTCGGGAAGCGGCTAGCGAGGGACATCCGAGCAAAGGCCTTTGTGGAGTGCTCATCTCTTGCCAACAGGGGCGTCCAGAAGGTGTTTGAGTGTGCCGTCCGGACAGCGGTGAACCAAGCAAGGAAACGAGCCCGGAGGAAGCTTTTTTCAGTCAACGAGTGCAAGGTCTTTTAAACTCTGACTTGGCCTTTTCCGCCTCTCTCACAAAACGGACTCCCTTTTGTGCGGCAGAAGGGCACTGACGCGAAGGCTGACAAACAGGAGCACAGCGTGTTAGCATTCGTGGTGGGCTGTGACCAGCATGGTGGGAACTTCGTTTGCGAAGAACGGAATGGGACTGCCCTTCCCCATAAGGATGCGATGGTCCCATTTGGCTCCCAGCGGCATCGACGGAACAAAAGCTGAACTGGAGACTTTTGAACAGGAGCACGTTGTTAGCATTGTGGGGGATTTTGGAATGTATTTATTCCGCGGCGGTGGAAATCTTGCTTTTCAGTGAAGCATCATGGATTGGAGAAATCTGATGGAGACTTGCACAGGTTTTCTTCCAGGGCCATGGCTTTCATCAAAGTACGACCAGGGTTTTAGTTTGATACTGGTGCTGGAGATTAGGCTCCTGAAACTACCAACCAACCCACCTCACACATGACAGTCCCCAGGATTACCTGGGGAGTTGGCGGGGGGGGGAAGGGGTCAGTGACGTAGCTACACTGTTTGATTTTGTTTAACTTGGTTTAATTTATAACTTGAATTTGGTGTCAGCCCGATGTCTGCGGAAGCAAATTCCTAGTGTGAAGAAAATCAGACAAAACTATTCTGTCTACTGAAGTGTGGAGGGTTAATTCTGATCATTCTGACGCAGCTGAAGATCTGTGGTGGCGAGACATGCTTTTAATAGCTATGTGGCAGAAAGTAATAAGTCCTGCAAGCATAAATTACTGTCTTGGTGGTATTGTGATGAGACAAGCTACGCTTACTTGCTTCTTCATACCAGTTCAAGGCAGAGATTCTCCCTTTAAGAAGTACGCAGCTCTTCTGTCTGCCCTGGGATATGAGCACAAAGGAATTAGTGAGGTGACCATTTATTTTATTTTTTCTGGTAGGCTTCCTGTGTGTGCCACAGGTTTCTGCTGGGCAGAAATTCAACAGGATCAAAGCGTTCCTCACCCCTGGAACCCCATTCCTGACAAAGCTCCACCTGTAGAAATTCTGCCTGCATATCATTGGTAAAGGCCAGAAGAAAGAAAAAAAAAAGAGAGCAACCTTTACAAAATATATGGTTTTGTTGGAGGGTCCAAAAGCCGGGTTGAAAATGTAACTGACCATTTATATATGAGACCTAAATATGTGAATCTAAAGCTAAGAAGTGTGTAATACATATTTTTAAGTTCCCAGGATGAAATTTAACGCCCTTTAACAGAAACTAAATGGGAATGTCAGTAGCTTTCCTGCAGGGAAGTCACAGAAAACAATCCATGAAGTTTATTAGTTGGGACTGTTAACAGCTTGAACTGTTGACTGTTTAGATCTTGCCATTAACCTGACTAGATACAAGGATGTAATCTGGTAGCAGTTTTGTTAGAGAATAAGGGTGGATTTGCCTCCAACACGCATCTGTTCCCCGCAATCTGCACGCATTCTAAGAAGATAAGAATTATCTTGCTAGGTGGGTCATACCAGGGTTTATCCTTCTGGCCCAATTATCCTGTATCCAAAAATGGCCAGCCTCACACCTCTGAAAGCTCTCATGCCGGACATGAACAGTTCTCCCCTCTTGCCTCCACCTCCTGTTACTCGCAAGTAGACTGCCTCTGCACATGGCAACTTAGATATCATGATTTGCAACCCTCATGGATCCTTCAAGCTACTTGTCATCGCCACTTATGGTGTGGGGTCCCTGAGCTAATTATCCATTGTGGAACTATTTCTTTTTAAAACTATATGCTGGAATTATTTTTTTAAAAAAATATTAAAACACTGTCTAGAATTCCCCAATTGGCCTTGCCAATCCACGCACCGAAGATGACTGCAAGTGCAGAATATCTGCATGGGAATGCCAACTTTTAAAGCAGCTCCTGCTCCTATGCCTTTGACAACAGGCTGATGTGCAGATGTCACTTATTCTTGTGCCAAAAAGGGTTTCTCCTCCTGATTTTTGCAGATCAAGTTGCAGGGAAAGGCACAGGTTCAGACCAAGACATCTTTTTCCCTGTTCATTTGGCAGTCCTGTCTACACATGTAGTGTCATAGAGCAAAATATATTCTGACATTCCCTGCATATTTGAATCAGCATCACAAATGACAGGCTGAGAATACAGGAAGTTGTTATCGAAACATGTGACCAGCACATCCTTCAGTGCTTTATCATGAACTTTGCTTTGCGGTCTCAGTTCAACTACCAGTGATTACACCAATGAGATAATCCATATTTAATTTTCGAGATCTTCTTTGCTTGCTGTGACACCCAAGGGTGAATGGGCAGAATGGAAACTGCTTCCCATTTTGAGGTCTGCCTAGACCGTGCTTAAATTAGATACCTAGGTGGAAGAGATTAAAGGAGGTGCTCATAAATGCTATTTCCTGTACAAACAGGAAGCTTTTAGGGCACATAAAGTAGTGCTAATGATTTAAACAGAACAGGTGAGATACGAATTACAGCCTTCTGTTTCTGATGTTAAATGTCCATTTTAGATGAGCACTAAAACAGCATATGCACCATTTCCTCATGTATATGTTTCTGAACTCTAGTTTTCTTGAAATAAAAACCATATAAAGTCATTTGTGGCAAACAGTGTCTTTTCGTCCCTTAAGGAGGATCATTTGGGATGACGAAATGGCAAGGCAAAAAGTGGTCTGCTTTGTTCCCGGTCCGTAGCTTCTGGCTGAAATCCGCTTTTAAGTTCTCACACCACAAATGTTCGGGGTTCTTTTCCTAGTCCTTTTGCTGCTCTATCGGGCAAACGTGCTCCTCCAAACAGCAATGACGCAGCAGCATTGGGAAAGTATTGCAGCATTAATGAAGCTGAATACTGTGTGGATGTCAAGGACTGGACTGAGAAGGAATGGTGGGAACCGCCCTCCCCCTCTTCCTGCACCTTCCCGAGAAGAGGAGGACAGTATAGATTTAGAACAGTGGTTTGCAGAAGGTCATAGTTCAGAGGCTGCAGAGGGGAGAAGCTGGGAAATATTGGGAGAGCAGCAAGAAGAAGCAGCACCAGGGGAGAGACAGCTAACAGACTCAGTGTCTTTGGAAAGTATTCCTGACCCCCCCCCTTCCAGGACCTGGCGTGCATTGAGAGTAGGAGAACAGAAAGCTCAGAGGCAGAAAGCACAGATCAGCTGGCGCAGGAGTGATGTAGAATAGGAGAGGCGGAGGGGGTGGGACTTTACTTGGAACAATGCCATTATCTAAGACAGACCACATTCCTTTGTTTCTCGCTGTGAATATTGAATAAACTACTTGAACAGAACTCTTTTTAAAAATCTGCTTCTTTGCTGCCACAGTGGAAGAGATAGGCTTCCCTGAAGCCTGACAGTGGACAGTCCAGTAAAATCCACTACCAAAGACCTTCCAGGGTGGAGTGGCTCAAAGCCTCTTGATTCATGGTCTCACTGAGCAGTGAATGTAGAGGTGCAAGAGGACTCCTGAGTTTGCAACCTAGTCAACCCACATGAGGTTGCAACCTGATATATCCACATTATTTTAGGACTGGGAGAGGCCTAGGTTCAAATCCCAACTCAAAGCAACCTGCTCATTCCTTACAGCCATGAAGTGTGTTGAGCGACCTCGGATCAATGACATATTAACATACTGTATATACCTCGCATGCTCTTTTCAGCTTCAATAGTCATCTGGTAGGCAGGAAAAGGAATAGAGTGGGTTCCTCCACCTCTAATAGTTGTGTAGATGGAAATCCACAAAATTTCTCACATCCATTTATGAAAGGTGGAAGAGCTTGATCCACTTTTACCTCTGGCCTTCCTAGGAGGGGAGAACGGGGTCCTATTCAAGAAACAGCAGGCCATAATAACACCAGAACTTCTCTGCTGCATTGGAACAATGATCCCTTTTTCCAGTGTGCTGCCTAGACAGTTTTAATGGCTGGCCACAAACCCGGAAAGCTGTCTGTGGACAAACGCCGGCTCCCTCTGGTACCCTACCTACCCACAGACTGTCTGGCCAGAGTGGTGCATGCTCTGGTTATCTCCCACTTGGACTACTGCAATGTGCTCCACGTGGGGCTACCTTTGAAGGTGACTTGGAAACTACAACTAATTCAGAATGCAGCAGCTAGACTGGTGACTGGGAACAGTTGCCGAGACCATATAAGACTGGTCCTGAAAGATCTAAATTGGCTCCCAGTACGTTTCCAAGCATGATTCAAAGTGTTGGTGCTGACCTTTAAAGCCTTAAACAGCCCTGGCCCTGTATACCTGAAGGAGTTTCTCCACCCCCATCGTTCTGCCCAAACACTGAGGTCCAGCTCCGAGGAGATCATCCCCACATCCTTCAAGGCAGGCTAGGGGTCTCCAAAGCGCAGGATTGGACCATCTGCTTTGCGTGTAGCTCTTCTGTCCTGGGCGGTATATCTGGGGCGGGCTGGGAATGTCCCCCCCATCCAAAACCCTGGAGAGCTGCTGCCAGTCAGTGCAGGCTAGTCTAGTTGAAGAAGGATATTGAGCAGCTGGAAGGTGAGCAGAGGAGGGCGATCAGGATGATGAAGGGTCTGGAAACCAAGCCTGATGAGGAACGGTTGAGGCAGCTGGAACCAAGCCTCATGAGGAACTGTTAAGGCAGTTGGAAACCAAGCCTCATGAGGAACGGTTGAGGCAGCTAGGTATTTTTAGCCTGGAGAAGAGGAGACTGAGAGGAGAGCCATCTTCCAATATCTGAGGGCTACAGGAGGGAGCAAGCTTGATTTCTGCTACTCCAGAGGGGAGGGCAGGAGAGGAGATTCGGAAGAACTTTCTGATGGTTAAGACTCTCTGGGATGGTGGTGGACTCTCCTTCCTTGGAGGCTTTTAAGCAGAGGTTGGGTGCCAATCTGCGAGGGATTCAGCTGCAATTTGGGGAGCACATAGCACCAGCCTACTTTACAGGGTTGTTGTAACCACACAGGGCTGCTGAGCATCCGAAAGTGCCTGACAAATGTTGAGCCTTCCATTTCATTGTGGGGAACAGCTGCAGCACATCAGGATGTGTCCCTCAACTTCTGTTTCTTCTCTCTCCTGGGCCGGGCTGGATTACCAAATAGGCAGAGGAGGCACTGGCCTTTGGGCCCCACACTTTTTAGGGGTTCCACAGCAGTGGATCAAAATAATATTGATTTGATCTTGAAAGAAAATGACAGTCAAGCTTTCTTAGTTCAATGTTATTCCAGGATGCGCACAAGGCCTGCCCCCCGCCCAGATTTTGACCACCAAGGGGCCTCCACAGGCTTTAATCCAGCACTGCCCCGTGAACGGCCCAGTATATCTGAAGGAGCATCTCCACCCCCATCGTTCAGCTCTACCCCCACCCACAGAGGTCCAGCTCCAAGGTCCTTCTGGTGGTTCCCTCACTACGAGGTGAGGTTACAGGGAACCAGGCAGAGGGCCTTCTCGGTAGTGGCAGCTGCCCTGTGGAACGCCCTCCCATCAGATGTCGAGGAAATAAACAACTATCTGACTTTTAGAAGACATCTGAAGGGAGCCCTGTTTAGGCAAGTTTTTAATGTTTGATGGTTTCTCGTGTTTTTAATATTTTGTTGGGAGCCGCCCAGAGTGGTTGGGGAAACACAGCAAGATGGGCGGCATATAAATAATAATTTCTTTAAAAAAGAAGAGGAAGAAGAAGCGAGATGAGTGCCGCAACCTCGTAGCTGCCTTTTACTGGACTGAACCGTCCAGGGGTCCTTTACCTTTTTTATAGTTGAGATTCCTGCATTGCAGAGGTTTAGAAGAGACTCTTGAGATCATTTCCAACTCTACATTCGACGCGTCCTCTCTTTTGCAAATCCTTTTGTGCAGGGATTCTTTTAAATAATGCTTTTTCTCGTGAAGTGCCACTGACCTGAGTAGCCGCTTCTAACCTGGAAAACAGGAAAGGCAATATTCATTAGTATGGCTCTGTGAGAAATGTATTTGCCACCGCCGTGTGCTGTGTCTTGAGGACACTGAAGCACTCTCTCCTGGATGACGAGGAACCAGTGAACTTCCAGCAGCCGATGGACTACAGCAGCTGTCATCCCTGCCCACTGGAAACATTAGCTGGGGCTGAATCTTTGCCGGCAGTCTCAGGTAGCAGTATGTGCAGGTAAGGGGTGCAGCTGAAAGGTACGGAGAGTCCTTACTTCAGCCAATCACTAGGCAGAATGAGCAAGCAATATTTCAAAAAGTAACCCATGCTTGCCTCAGATCCAGGACAAAGCACCGCCTTTCGGAAATTCCCCCTGGACTTCAATTCCGCCTTTGAAATCCCGGTAATGTCCAGACATATGGCAGCCCTATTTAAGATGGCTTTGCCCCTGCAGCCAACTAGCCAGCTAATGAAAGTTTTTCAAAACAAGCAGGGCTCAGACCTATGATTCCCTTAACTTAAAGTTGTCTAGACCACAGCAGCTGTAATTTCAAGACACCAATTTTGCTACTTTGAAAATACTTAAATTAGCCAGTCCATAAACCACATTTGGCCTAGTGTAACAAAGAAAACATAATACAACTTGGTTCTTGTTGTTTAAAAAACACACTATAGGTTTTGTACCCAAATGAAACTCCATCCAGAATCACTCCATAAAAGTAGCTGAGAAAAGATGAGTCTTTTCAGAAACGGTTTAAATTGTGCAGGGATGGTACTGCAAAAACCAGGACACCCTGAAAGTTGTTGAGCTTCTTTTAGGAAGATCCCCAGAAACAAAGGGGTTGGGGAGTTGAGGTAGAGAACATACTTCCTTTCTTCAAAATAAAATGGGCCATTTTTGCATCTCTATGCTGGATAAAGTTTTGCCCATATCTCAAAAGGCTATTCTAGAGCTGGGAAAGTTTCAGAAATGGCCAATCAAAATGATCAAGCAGTTGGTGCAACTCACTCTTAACGAAAAATTGCAACATCTGGAGGTTTTGGCTTTATCTCAAACATCTTTTTATCAGGGCAACAGCAGAGCAGGTATAATAGATAGCTAAAGGGCAGCCTTTTAACTATAATCCTATTAACAGCAACGTGGGACGCGAGTGGCGCTGTGAGTTAAAGCCTCAGCGCCTAGGACTTGCCGATCGAAAGGTCGGCGGTTCGAATCCCCGCAGTGGGGTGCGCTCCCGTCGCTCGGTCCCAGCGCCTGCCAACCTAGCAGTTCGAAAGCACCCCCGGGTGCAAGTAGATAAATAGGGACCGCTTAATAGCGGGAAGGTAAACGGCGTTCCGTGTGCTGCGCTGGCTCGCCAGATGCAGCTTGTCATGCTGGCCACGTGACCCGGAAGTGTCTGCGGACAGCGCTGGCTCCCAGCCTATAGAGTGAGATGAGCGCACAACCCTAGAGTCTGGCAAGACTGGCCCGTACGGGCAGGGGTACGTTTACCTTTACTATTAACAGCAACAGCAGGTACTGTAATAAAATCAAAGAAGCAGATTATCTCATTCTTACCTAGTTTTTAAGTGCAAAACAACAGAATGACAATTGTGCCGTCTAGGTCTAGCAATTTCTGAGGACTGCTCCCCAGTCCCCAGGTTTTTATCAAATGCAAAACAGAAATTCAACAAGTTAAGACAATGCAATTACTGCATTTCTACAAACTAGTGAATTAGGGTTTTTATCCTCTCTCAAAAGAGCTCTACTAGAAAAATTATAGCAAGGATTGCCACTTTTTACATAAAGAATTGCTCATTCAGCATAAGCAGAACACGGGCAGAAATTCCTAGGTAAAACTTTTTTAAAAATAATAGTAATCTGCCTATTACGCAGTTTATGTTGAATACTCAATTCATTTTTTAAAAGAAGAATAGGTGACGTTTATCATGGTTTGAGTGAAGGCATAGGAAAATCTCTATCTATTGGGTTGTGCCCGCTATGTAGCTATTAAAGGCAAAGACTATTTGCCTGCAAGCATGCATGTGACAACCCAAAACTTTAAGTTTAGCACCTAGCAGAGGCTATTCTAAGTCAACACAATTCCTTCTGCTTTCTCTTTCTCTCTTAAAACTGACTTAGGGGCTTTCCATCAAGCCTATCTTGCTCTCTCCCCCACACTTCCCGAGTTTTGATAAAGCTCTGAGTAATCTGAAAGATTGCTCATCTCATTTTGACATTTTGGTTGACCCTAACAAAATCCTGCTGTGGCTGTTGGATTTTTCCCAATGGACCTATAATATTGGTTTGTATCAAAGAATGCCAAATGTAGCCATCCTTGAGATTATAATTGGAGATAAACTATATTCTACCACCTAAAGATGAGAATTTATGTCTGATGGGGCAGGGGTAGGATACTTGACATAAACCAATAAGCAATGTGACTTCCATAAAAGTGAACCACCTAAAATTACTTATAGGAGTGTTTCTCAAACAGTGGGCTGGAAGGCACCAGTGGGTGTCAAATCTCCCATTCCCAGGCAAGGTGAATGAGCAGGGTGGTCACTGAACAATTCCAGGCACATCTGGACCATTTGGATCCTTTTTGGTTGGGATTCCGGCCTCATCATGGGACTGAAACCACCTTGGTCGTGCTGGTCAATGATCTTTGGCAGGCTAGGGACAGAGGTGGAAATCAGCGGCTTTTGATACCATCAACCATGGCATCCTTCTTTTCTTTTTAATATTTATTTAAGATTTTCAATTTTATACATTTCAATAATTTTACAATGCTTTTAACATTTCAAAACTTGACTTCCTTCCCGCTCTTTCTGCGGTTCCTTAAATTTATTTTTTAGATTTTCTGTATATTCCAAATTAACTTAACTTAATCCTTTATTCATCTACTTTAAATGTATACTCTTATAAAACTGCAGGTTATTACAATAATCCCACCAATGTTCTTATCTGTTTACAGTTTGTTTGTAAATATTCAACAAACCATTTCCATTCTTTTATTAAAAAAAGTTTGCTATCTTGATTTCTTATTTCTCCGCTAAGTTTTGCCATTTCTGTGTGTCCCGCAAGTTTTTGTATCCGTTCTTCTTTCGTTGGGACTGTCTAGGGGATCTAGGGGAACTGTTATACTGTGGTTCCGCTCCTTCCTCCTGGGCTGTGTCCAGAAGGTGATGTCAGGGGTTGGATGTTCGGACCCCTGAGCTCTCACTTGTGGGGTGCCTCAGGGTTCCATCCTCCTCTCCATGCTTTTCAACATCTACATGCAGCTGCTGGGAGAGATCATCAGGGGGTTTGGGCTGGGTGTTCATCAGTATGCAGATGATACCCAGCTTTACCTCGTGTTTAAATCAGAACCAGTGAGAATGTTGAACATCCTGTGTGAGTGTCTGGATGCAGTTGGAGGATGGATGGTGGATCATGGATTGAGGTTGAATCCAAACAGAACAGAGGTACCATTTGTGGGGGACAGGGGGCAGGCAGGTATGAGGGATTCCCTGGTCATGAATGGGGCAACCGTGCCCCTAAGGGACCAGGTGCGCAGCTTGGGAGTCATTATGGACTCACAGCTGTTCATGGGTTACTTCTGCATCCAGGGCAGAAGTCTACCAGCTCCACCTGGTACGCCGGCTGAGACCCTACCTGCCTGCGCACTTTCTCACCAGAGTGATACATGCTCTGGTTATCTCCCGCTTGGACTACTGCAATGAGCTCTATGTGGAGCTACCTTTGAAGGTGTCTCAGAAACGACAACTAATCCAGAATCTGGCAGCTAGACTGGTGACTGGGAGCAGTCGCTGGGACCATAACACTGGTCCCAAAGGATCTAGACTGGCTCCCAATATGTTTCCGAGCACAATTTGAAGTGTTGGTGCTGACCTTTAAAGCTCTAAATGCCCTCAGCCCAGTATACCTGAAGCAGCGTCTCCACCTTCATCATTCAGCCCGGACACTGAGGTCCAGCTCCGAGGGCCTTCTGGTGGTTCCCTCCCTGCGAGAAGTGAAGTTATAGGGAACCAGGCAGAGGGCCTTCACGGTAGTGGCGCCCGCCCTGTGTAACGCCCTCCCATCAGATGTCAAACAGATAAAGAACTTTATGACTTTTAGAAGACATCTGAAGGCAGTACAGGGAAATTCTTAATGGTTGATGCGTTGCTGTGTTTTTAATATTTGGTTGGGAGCTACCCAGAGTGGCTGGGGTAACCCAGTCAGATGGTTAACAGACTGGTGACTAACAACAGCAGCAGCAGCACCAGCAGCAGCATTTTCTAATGATGGATGCTTCCATATGACTGCTTATTGTGTATGGGTGTTTATTGCTCTCATAAGTGCAAGTTTTTGCATTGTCTACCCATCGCAGTCTTATTTAGGAATAAGTCAAGTTTTAAAGGACTGTGCTACATGTGAAACAACAAACATGCTTGCCTATGAAAAAGATGGCTTCTGTTTCCCCCATGTGTGAAACATTTCAGTTAGGGGATTCTGGTTGAAATCAACCATGCAGATTCAATCTAATTTTAAAGAAATTTGCAGGAGGAGGATTATTCTGTTTCTTCTCTACAGAGTTTGACTGAACCGTGTTTTTTTCTTTTCTTTTATAAGCAGGTGTTTCCGGCATAGAAAGAAAAACATCTCTGTGGTTAGACTATTTCCGTAAGTGTATGAACCATCACATTCACCAACCTGCTGCTTTTGCACTAGTCTGAACTACGTTTGAGGTCTATATGAAAAATCCAGTGCTTTGAGTTTGCTGTGTATCATCGTAACCCTGTGCCAAGTTTTATTTCTCACCTTTTGGAGACTTCCATGGTTTTCCAACAATAAATGCATCATCATTGTATTTTATTAGAATAGAAAGCATTTGGGCTACCTGGTTTCTGAGCACAGGAGCTCTGCTGGCTTAGGCCACATGCTATTTGCATGGTGACAGAAAACAACGTCTGCCCTGCCCAAAATGTACAGTGGAACCTCAGGTTCCTTACGAACGCTTTGGGTAACAAGCTCCGTTAACCCGGAAGTAGGTGCTCCTGGTAATGAACTTTGCCCCGGGATGTGAGCGGAAGTTGTGCGCCGGCGGCGTGAGGCCCCATTAGCGAAAGCACGCCTCAGGTTAAGAACGGTTTCGGGTTAAGAATGGACCTCTGGAACGAATTAAATTAATAACCGAAGGTACCACTGTACATGGAAGACAGAGGGAATTTACCCACCCAGGCCTCTTACATTTAATATTAAGTACCTGTAAAGTTTGCAGGACAATACACTGTTGCAATTAATACTGGGATGTTTCAGGACATACTCGCCTTTATAGCAGGAGTTTTTGAACTTTCTAGTTACAAAATGATGGCAGATGCAGGCAGTTTGGCATAATCAGCTGGCAAGTACTGACATCACTTTCTATGCTTCTGTTTACTACTGGATTCTAATGGATTATTGAATGTTTAGGGTTGTCATATTTCAAGAAGTAAAAACCAGGACACCCCAAGAGTTGAGCTTCTTTAAGAAAACCCCCCAAACTGTTTTTTATATTTTTTAGGAAAACCAAAATTGTTGAGCTTTTTCTACACAAACCCCAAAGTTGTTGAGCTTTTCTTAGAAAAAGCTACTAGAGTTTTTGAGTCTTACGTAGGCATTTTTGGCACGATTTCACCCCCGTTGCCAGTTTCCCAAGGCGTTTGCTGAAAAATACTCCAGGACACCATTTTCTGAGGCGAATTCCAGGACATATCCTGGAAAATCAGGATGTATGGCAGCCCTAAAATAGTGCTTTATTTGATCTTGATCATTGTTTATTTTACAGGTATTGTGACTTTTAACATAGGATTTAATTATTAATATTAATGTCTGATGCTTTATTATTATTTTATAATTGGTTTTTATTATTTCTATGCAAGTATAAAATTATATATACACACACACATATATACATACATATACACACACACACACACTCACATATATATATATTGCCATTATGTGTATATATTTGTGTGTGTATATATTGTTTTATTATTATGTTTTATTATGTTAATGTGTGTTGTAAGCCGCTCAGAGTGGCTGGGGCAACCCAACCAGATTCGGGGGGGGGGGATATAAATAAATTATGATTATAATAATCATCAGCATCATCAAATCAACCTTTGGAAAGGGCTACATTCTTCGCCAGTGTTTTACTTGTGGCAAAGAGTTTCACAGCTCAGCTTTCCTCCGCCTCAATACGTACGTTTTCTGTGGAGGCACAGCGACTCAGCCTTCCCATTTGAGGCAGGACAAGTCAATAAAACGAAGTCCAATATCCTTCGCGGTTCCTCGAACAGCGCGCACGCTGAATTCTCCGCTTTCCCTTTTCCCGCATGCGCAGGAAGATTTTGCGCACGCGCAGAGCGGTGGGTTCCCCCCGCCAAGCGAACTCAAGCGGAGACGGCAGCGTGGGCGCATGCGCAGCAAAAGCTCGAGAAGCTCGGCGGCTTTCTGGCGGGAAGCCTCGCGGCGGCGCACCCCCCCCACCTGTCTCCTGCGTGAGAGAGTGCGGCGCGTGATGTCACAGAGCCTGCCCTTCCGCGCCCGCGCTTGGTGGTGGTGGTGACGTGCCGGGCGCTGGCGAGCCGGTTGGTTGGATGGAGGCGGCGCTTTCTTTTAACCCTTTCCTCGGTCGCTCCCTTGCCCTTGCTGTTTCTGAGAGTGGCGAGTGGAGAAGCCATACGCCCGGATTTTCCCGGGCATTAACATTTATTTATTTATTTATTCATTTATTCATTCATTCATTTGCGAACACACAGCCTGGAGATCTTTATGACCTCCTTACTTAAATGTACACCTAAAAGCATATCAAAATCCAGCAGTAGTGGACAGTAGTAGTTGACCTCCTGACAGGTGAGTTGCTCCCTCCTCCTCCTGCCAACAGGTAAGCATCAGTAACTCACCTGGTAAGCATCTCTGTCGCACGACAGGAATTCCAGATAACAACTTCTTGCTGGTCTTTCTTTAACGTTTCACATTGGTATCCCTTCCTTGCTGCCAGGAGCTTGGCACTGCCTCACAACAACGACCTTGCGAGGTAGTACACAATCGGTTCCGACGATCCACAGAACCGCTTTATACCTCCCTGCTGCCTCAAGATGAAAAAAACCCAAATGCTGCATGCTCTGCTGCTAGATTCTGCGCTTCCAGGATGAATATTCGCCAAAGATGGTTTGCACCACAAACTAGGCTCCAAATGCAAGACAGGTTGTTTTAACCATTTGTCCCTGTTTTCTATTGTTATAGGAATTCTAAGGTCTCAAATATAGGATAAATGTTGATAATTGCACAAGGTAAACACACATAAGTACAGTGCTTTTTTTTCTGGGGGTACGCATACCCCTAAACATTTTGTGAATACACATGGTGTCAAATACGTATTTGTGGCCTTATAATGTGTGTAGTGGCCTGATTTAAAAACAGATGCGTTTGGCTCGCAAAATATGGATGTACAGCACTTACATCCTATAGATCATTTATGAATTATGCATACATAAATAACATTCTCTGACACCTAGGAATTTCAGTCTGGGTTATCCCCAACAAAAAGGATTCTTTTTTGGGGGGGAAAGTAGTTTTAAACATTCCTGCCCCCCCCATCCATTATAAATCATTTCCCAATACACTTTTACCTTTTTACATGTCCACCACATATGGCAAAACGTTCCCTCAGCTTCTTTACACTTCCAACACATATCTGATTCTCTTTTATAAATCTTAGCCAACCTACTCGGAGTTAAGTAACATTTATGAATCATTTTCGAATAATTCTCTTTCCATGAATAACATGCAGTAAATTTCAGGTCACTTTTCCAGAGTTTCTCCAAGAGGTTGAGATTTATATTGTGTTTTATATCTATTGCCGAGTGTGTCACTGGAGCTTTAACAAGCTCGTCTTTTGTTTCCCATTCTAGTAGAAAATTATACATTTTAGACAAAAGTTTATCCTTATTTTGAAAATATAAGTGCAACAACTTTGCCCAATATGCACCAATATGTTGCCCTTGTCCGTATGGTCGCTAAATCAGTGACACAGGTCATGGGGTGGGGGATACTCCCTAGGAAAAATATTGTAGAAATTATATATTGGCTTGCAAATATGAAAATATAACAATGGAGCCCCAATGCTCAGCGACCTTTGGAAGAGGCAGAATCTCTCAGGTATGCGTGGGGGCAGGCGATAGACAGAAAATAGGTGGGAGCAGAGCTGGAGCTGATTCTTACTTTTGTGGTTTTATTTGCAGAGAAGAAATGTGATCAGCGAGGACTTAGAGGAGTTCTGGCGGAATAGTTTCGTGGTGATATCCCTTCACCTCGTCACCCAGCACGTCATTCTCAGGTTACCAGATCTGTAAGGGCCATGAGAAAACAGAGGATGACTGATGATTGTTGGAGCTCTAGAGGACGATGCCACTCTGACTATAGCTGCGGGAAGAAGTATGGCAGAGTCTTTTGCTTTTATGCTCTCCGTGTGAGGTTGCACTGGGCATGAATGTTTTCACCTAGAGAACGGCTTGGGATATATATTTTTGTCTACAGCCAGAGGAGCAAAGCTTCTCCACAATGAAGCTCAGCTTTGCCTTTAGCCTCTCCTTGGTTTTTGCAGTGGGAATGCTTCATGGTAAGAGACTTTTTCCATAGCAGGGAGGCATGAAGGAGGGTGTTAGAGTTGAAATATGGCAACCCTGCTACAGACTCTCAACAATTTCAGTATGCAGAGATGCAGATGCATAATTTTAATAATTCTAGGAAACTAGGAGGGTGTCACTACATGGCAGCGTAGTCTCATGGAAAGAAACAGGGTTAGCAATGAGGTGGAGGGAACGTTCTTTCACATGTGGTGGACCTGTAAAAGGGTAAAAAAGTATTGGGAAATAATTTATAACGAATTGGAAAAAATGTTTAAAAGCACCTTTCCAAAGAAACAACAACCAGAGTCCTTTTTGTTGGGGACAATTCAGACTGAAATTCACAGGTGTCAGAAAAGGTTATTTATGTATGCCACTACGGTGGCCCGTGTTTTGTTAGCCCCAAAATGGAAAACAGGAGACGTCCCAACCAAAGAAGAATGGCAACTTAAACTGATGGAATATATGCAGCTTGCAGATCTAACTTGTAGAATAAGAGAACAAGAAGAACATTTGTTTAAAGAAGATTGGGAAATGTTTATTGAATATAATGGGAGGAAATTGTGTACACTTGAAAACACTGGCAGCAGTAAGATAAATTCAGCAGTGTAAATAGGTTTTGATGGATGTAACAGTGGAATTCTGAATGGTTTAGTTTATATAAAATATGCAGGGATTTATGCTAGGCAGAATGAATCAAGGAATGAGAAGAAGGGAAGTCACTGATATTTTAAGGTTGTCTAAATGAATATTCTAAATTGCAAAACAGAAAATTACACACACACACAGAGCGCTTTTTTTCTAAAAAAAATGTTTAGGGGTACTCTCATTTTACTACTCGTATTGAATTACTGCCCCTCAATGAGGCCAAACTTAGATTCACAAAATGTTTAGGGGTATGCATACCCCTGCGTCCCTCCAGAAAAAAGCACTGTATATAAAGAGAGAGAGAGAGAGAGAGAGAGAGAGAAACGGGGTTAGGGTTGGAATATGGCAACCCTGCTACAGACGCTCAACAATTTCAGTATGCAGAGATGCAAATGCATATTTTAATAATTCTAGGAAACTAGGAGGGTGCCACTACATGGCAGCGTAGTCTCATGGAAAGAAACGGGGTTAGGACAGAGTTTTAGCACCTGAAGTTTAACCTCCATGGTTTCCTTTTAAAGAACTCTGGGAACTGTATTTTTGGGAGGTGCGAAGAATTCGTTTTTAGCAATCCTAGCCCCGTTATTGAACTACAGTTTCCAGGGTCCCTTGACTTGCAGCTGTTTTACATTTCTATTGTAGAAATGGCACCAAGTGCTTAACAAACTATCCCCAACAACCAACCTTGCCTTTTAAAATGTATAATACTGTATACTACTGCAAATATCATAATCGGCTCATGTGGCTCTGGAGGTCAGAAGCCAAATACTGTAAGTTTACAATGGACGATGTAAAATAAATATATATGTTTTATACAGTTGCTAAGGCAGCACAAGGGAAATATGCTCAAATGCTCTTTAATGAGCTCTTTGAAGACTATTCAAATGCTCTCAGACCAGTGGAAGATACAGACAGCGTACTGAATGTCACTCTTCAGATCACTCTCTCCCAAATAAAGGATATGGTAAGTAAAAGAGGTCTATATTCTACAGATGGAAAGCCCCTGATCTTGTCTGTCAATTTTGAATTGCAGAGGCTTAAGGACTTTTGTTTTTATCTTGCTGCTTCTACGTACTTGAAGCATAGCTGTCAACTTACAGATTTGAAAATAAGGGATCAGCAGCCAAAATAAGGGATCAACAATTACTTTGATAAAATACATATTTTGTTGCGTGCAAATGGCTTTAGATACCTATTAGGTCCATAAATGACCATATAGCACATATTCAACACAAAAAAAGCAACAATTTGTTGTTGACAAAGGACAGCTGGACATAGAAAGGGCCCCATTACTTTCAGTAGCTTATTTAAGGGACATCATCAATAAGGGACAGCAGCGGGACATGGCACTGGGATAAGGGACTGTCCCGCCAAATAAGGGACGCTTGACAGCTATGACTTGAAAGAAGACTTTGATATGGTTTGTTTCTCTTTTTCTTTGCTAAAATCCCATGGTTCCTTCTCTGACTCACTGAAAGGGAATTACAGGCTGAAACTTACATTGGGTTTTGTTAGGATCTGTAACGCGCCTGTCATCCTTGAGCTGCCTAGTTTATGGTTCTAACTGCAATACTCTATTTGTTTTTTTAATTATAATTGAACATACATGCTATTGTGATAACCCCCGCCCTGAGACCTTATGACAAAGGGTGGCTAAGAAACAGAATAAAAAATTTCCTGTATTAATGTTAGTAATGCACTCCGGTTTTCATTTTCCCATGTGGAAAATGAGAGAGCCAGTGTGGTGGTGTGGTTAAGAGCAGTAGTCTCGTAATCTGGGGAACCGGGTTCGCGTCTCCGCTCCTCCACATGCCGCTGCTGGGTGACCTTGGGCCAGTCACACTTCTTTGAAGTCTCTCAGCCCCACTCACCTCACAGAGTGTTTGTTGTGGGGGAGGAAGGGAAAGGAGAATGTTAGCTGCTTTGAGACTCCTGAAGGGGAGTGAAAGGCAGGATATCAAATCCATGTAGACAATTAAGACACTTACTCCTTATGATAAGAAGCAGTAGTTGAGCTACAAGTGAGTTACTTTTTTTGTTACGTGATTATATCAGGCCAACACAGAAATACCAATTTTTTTGCTCTGTAAGACTCACTTTTTCCCTCCTAAAAAGTAAGGGGAAATGTGTGTGCGTCTTATGGAACGAATGCAGGCTGCGCAGCTATCCCAGAAGCCAGAACAGCAAGAGGGATTGCTGCTTTCACTGCGCAGTGATCCCTCTTGCTGTTCTGGCTTCTGAGATTCAGAATATTTTTTTTCTTGTTTTCCTCCTCCAAAAACTAGGTGCGTCTTGTGGTCTGGTGCGTCTTATAGAGCGAAAAATATGGTATATATTGATCACAATCTAAAGAGGATTCTCTCTGCCCCGTTTGCCCCATATTCCTTCCCTGGGGTGCAATCTGAGAAGAATATGGGTATTTTAATTATATCGGTGGGGCAGATTGTGGAACTCCTTCCCTTTTGTCTCAGTTAGTCATGCCTACATCCTGTTGAAATCAGTGTGTCAGGGGAGCTCAGTAAACCTAGCCCAAACTTTGCCAACCTGGTCCCTTTCGGATGTTTTGAACCACAACTCCTATCAGCCTCACCCCAGTTGCAGTCCAAGACAAAAAGCAAAATCTGACTTAAGCAAAGCAGTATATATGACTGAAGATACTGCTGAGCTCTGGCTCCCCTGTGTGATGTGTTTTTATGAACACCAAAAAATGTAAGCAGACCACAAAGGTCTTTGCAGATGCATATTTTAATAATTCCAGGAAACTAGGACTGCTGCAGCCACCCACTGTGTCGATGCATGATGGAAAACTGCCATCATGACGTGACAAAGAAAGCACAATCTATAATTATGTCACCGAGGTTCTAACTATGTCAACTTTTCTGTGAATCAGCTCTGTGTGTTGCCACAGAGCAGTACATTCACTTTTAGATCTACAACATGTTCCAAAATAACCTTCTGGATGTGTTGACTTGCAGACATGTTCGTGCGAGAAGCTTTAGCTGATTGTCAAAGCACATGCAAAATGTCCCAGGTTTAATCCTGGACATCTCCTTTTTTATTAGTTTTTTATTTATATTTTTCAAATTTACACATTTCATTAGTTTTACAATCAATTTAACATTTCCAAATTTTGTCTTCCTTCCCCCTCTTTCTGTGGTTCCTTAAATTATTATTATTTATATCTTCTGCATTTCCAAGTTCATTTAACTTGCTCATTTATTTATCTGCTGTAAATATATATTCTTATAAAACTGCAGCTTATTATATTAATCCCGCCAATGTTCTTATCTGTTTACAATTTATCTGTAAATATTCAATAAACAATTTCCCTTCTTTTATAAAAAGTTTGTTATCTTGATTTCTTTTTCTTCTGGTAAGTTTTGCCATTTCTCCATATTCCATAAGTTTGTGTACCCGTTCTTCTTTTTCTGGGACTTCTGCTTCTTTCTGCTTTGGGGCAAGTAACATTCTTGCTGCTGTAGTAGCATACATAAATCAATTTCTATACAATTTAGGTAGTTCTGTCCCTATAATTCCCCAAAGAAAAGCTTCTGGGTTGTGGTTTTTATAAAAGTTATTTTGAACATCCTTTTCAATTCATTAGATATCATTTCCCAATAAACTTTAACCTTACTACAAGACTACCACATATGATAAAAAGAACCTTCTTTCTCTTTACATTTCCAGCATTGGTTTGATTTAGATTTATACATTTTTGCCAGTTTGCTTGGAGTTAGATACACCATTGAGATATCATTTTCATATAATTTTCTCTTAAACCATTTGTTGTTGTTTAGTCGTTTAGTCGTGTCCGACTCTTTGTGACCCCGTGGACCAGAGCACACCAGACACTCCACTGCCTTCCACTGCCTCCCGCTGTTTGGTCAAACTCATGTTCGTAGCTTTGAGAACACTGTCCAACCATCTTGTCCTCTGTCGTCCCCTTCTCCTTGTGCCCTCCATCTTTCCCAACATCAGGGTCTTTTCCAGGGAGCCTTCTCTTCTTTTGAGGTGGCCAAAGTACTGGAGCCTCAGCTTCGGGATAATAATAATAGTAATAATAATAATTTGTTATTTATACTCCGCCCATCTGGCTGGGCCTCCCCAGCCACTCTGGGTGGCTTCCATAGAAACCAAAAATACAGTAAAATATCACACGTTAAAAACTTCCCTGAACAGGGCTGCCTTAAGATGTCTTCTGAATGTCAGGTAGTTGTTTATCGCTTTGACATCTGCTGGAAGGGTGTTCCACAGGGCGGGCGCCACTACCGAGAAGGCCCTCTGCCTGGTTCCCTGTAGCTTTGCTTCTCACAATGAGGGAACCGGCAGAAGGCCCTCGGCGCTGGACCTCAGCGTCCGGGCAGAGCGATGGGGGTGGAGACGCTCCTTCAGGTATACTGGACCGAGGCCGTTTAGGGCTTTAAAGGTCAGCACCAACACTTTGAATTGTGCTCGGAAATGTACTGGGATCTGTCCTTCCAGTGAATACTCAGGGCTGATTTCCTTCAGAATGGATAGGTTTGATCTTCTTGCAGTCCATGGGACTCTCAAGAGTCTCCTCCAGCACCATAATTCAAAAGCATCAATTCTTCGGCAATCAGCCTTCTTTATGGACCAGCTCTCACTTCCATACATCACTAAATTTTATATCCATATTCCACAATCATTCTCACGCTTCCAAATCTATGTTATGAGCGATATCTATTGCTAATCCCGGACTTCTCCAGACAGGACGTTGAGATACTGTTTTTCAAGGGAGCGCAACCTATGGCTCCTTACATGTCTTTGGGTTCTCAGCTCCCTTCATCCTCAGCTAGCATAGCCAATAGTCAAGGATAATGGGAGTTGTACAATATACGGTCTGATTCTGTGTAAGACTGCTTCCTGTGTTCCTAACTTTAGGCCTCCTGTCATATTCCAGGATGAGAGAAACCAAATTTTGACCGCCTACCTATGGATTCGACAAACGTGGTACGATGCCTATTTGAAGTGGGACAAGGATGAATATGATGGGCTGGATTCTATCCGAATCCCCAGCAATCTGGTATGGAGACCGGACATTGTCCTTTATAACAAGTAAGTCTGGCCTGGGAAGGTTTCTTACAAATGTGCAAGTAAGAATCTAGCTCTATGCTTATTTATCTATTCATTGGTGGGGGAAGTGAAGGATCTGGGGCCAGCTTGCAGAGAGAAGTTGCCTGGGGAAAATGATAGATGTGTACTTTGTGTAAATTGCATCCCTTTTGCAGTAGGGAACAAGTGATTGCCAGGCATTTGGAAACACAAATTGGCCGGCAAAAAGTACCGTATTTTTCGCTCTATAAGACGCACCAGACCACAAGTCGCAACTAGTTTTTGGCGGAGGAAAACAAGAAAAAAAATAATTCTGAATCTCAGAAGCCAGAACAGCAAGAGGGATCACTGCGCAGTGAAAGCAGCAATCCCTCTTGCTGTTCTGACTTCTGGGATAGCTGTGCAGCCTGCATTCGCTCCATAAGATGCACACACATTTCCCCTTACTTTTTAGGAGGGAAAAAGTGAGTCTTATAGAGCAAAAATTATGGTAGTTCTGGTTTCAAATGATCTTGTGAGCTTAGGCCCAACAAGCCACCTACGGTCACCTTTCATCTGGTTGAATGATCAACTCATGAAATCTTCACTTGCCCCAAGCTTTTATTTCCTTTGGTAGGAAATCTAGGTTATTTCACAACACTTGTGTTACTTCCATCAGACATCTCTAGTCACCAGATAGGTTGTTGACACATAAAATATTTTCTCTTTCATCTACGTAAGAAAAAGGATGTGAAAATTGCACGTGCCTATACTGAAAGGTGTATGAATGCCACAGTTTCAAAAGTGCTAAGGAAAAGCTCTCTCATGGTCTGGCAGACAGCCAGGCATGTCATGTTTTGAATCTGTTTATTAAGGTAGCTCAATGACAATTCACACCCTGGCCATTTCATTCCGATATTGACTCTTGAGTAAAGTCATTCAGAAGGTATTCAAACTCTAAACACCTTTAAAGTATATATTGTCTTTTATGTGGGCAGTATGTTGTTGATGTTATCCTTAGTATTTATGAAGGATAATTAGAATCATAGAATGGTAGAGTTGGAAGGGACACCAACGGTCATCTAGTCCAACCCCCTGCAATGCAGGAATCTCAACTAATGCATCCATGACAGATGGCCATCCAACCTCGGCTTAAAACCCTCTCACGTAAAAGTGAAATGTGGTTGCTTGTTCAGCTTCATACATCTTCAATTGATGTAAAAAATCTGCTATTAAGCACATTTAAAACTGTGGTTCTGCCTTTCACACATACAGCTCACAGTGGGACAGAGGCTCAAAAGCACTTTGCACAAGATGTGTGAAGCCTGCTTTAGTAAAATTATAGGTGAGCTGAGATGTGAACTGGGAGCTTGTGGCTTCCATCCAGCCTGCCTTGTGCTGTTATGGGAGCGTGGTGCTGTGGTCTAAACCACTAAGCCTCTTGGGCTTGCCGATCTGAAGGTCGGCGGTTCGAATCCCTGCGACAAGGTGATTTATCTGTATATACTTATTGTTTTATATGTGTTTATGGTGGTGTTGTTGTTGTTTTAGGGCTGATGATGACTTTTCCGAGCCCGTGAACACTAACATTGTATTGAGGCATGATGGCAAGATTACTTGGGATTCACCGGCTATAACAAAAAGCTCATGTGTGGTGGATGTATCTTACTTCCCCTTCGATAGCCAGGAGTGCAACCTAACCTTTGGCTCTTGGACCTACAATGGTAATCAGGTAGATATTTTCAATTCTTTAGACAGCGGCGACCTCTCAGACTTTATAGAAGACGTGGAGTGGGAGATTCACGGCATGCCGGCTGTTAGGAATGTGATAACCTATGGCTGCTGCTCAGAGCCTTATCCAGATGTTACATTCACCCTTGTTTTGAAAAGGAAATCATCTTTCTATATATTTAACCTGCTGCTTCCTTGTCTGTTGATATCTTTTCTGGCTCCACTGGGATTCTACCTCCCAGCAGACTCTGGAGAAAAAGTGTCTCTGGGGGTCACTGTTCTGCTTGCCCTGACCGTGTTTCAGCTAATGGTTGCGGAGAGCATGCCGCCTTCTGAAAATGTGCCCTTGATCGGTAGGTATCTGAGTGTTTATACTTTTTACGGGCAAACAGCGATTATGTAATTGAGCTGTGAGGGGTCCGTTATTTGATGATGATGTTGCCTGCTATGGAGCAAGCCAGCCCCTCTGGAATAAAGTGGTACAGTGGTGCCTCGCAAGACGAAAAGAATCCATTCCGCGAGTCTCTTCGTCTTGCGGTTTTTTCGTCTTGCGAAGCAAGCCCATTAGCGGTTTAGCGGATTAGCGCTATTAGCGGCTTAGCGGGCTTAGCGGATCAGCTGATAAGCGGCTTAGTGGCTTAACGGATCAGCTGTTAAGCGGCTTAGCGGATCATCTGATAAGCGGCTTAGTGGCTTAACGGATCAGCTGTTAAGCGGCTTAGCAGATCAGCTGTTAAGCGGCTTAGCAGATCAGCTGATAAGCGGCTTAGCGATCAGCTGTTAAGCGGCTTAGCGGCTTAGCGGATCAGCTGATAAGCGGCTTAGCGGCTTGGGAAAAAGGGGGGGGGAGGAAAAAAACCCCGCAGGAACTCGCAAGACATTTTCGTCTTGCGAAGCAAGCCCATAGGAAATTCGTTTTGCGAAGCACCTCCAAAACGGAAAACCCTTTCGTCTAGCGGGTTTTCCGTCTTGCGAGGCATTCGTCTTGCGGGGCACCACTGTACCTTGGTTCTTGAACTTAATCTGTTCCGGGAGTCCGTTCGGCTCCTGAAACCGTTCAAAAACCAAGGCGTGCCTTCTGATTGGCTGCAGGAGCTTCCTGCGCTCAAGCGGAAGCCGCGGCGGATATTCAGCTTCCGAAAAATGTTCACAAACTGGAACACTTACTTCCGGGTTTGCGACATTTGGGAGCCGATTTGTTCGACAACTAAGCCGTTCGAGAACCAAGGTACCACTGTATGTGATGACACCGAACTCACTTCCTTTGCTGTAACTCAAAGCCAAACGTAGTCTTTGGGCTAAGATGTCACGAACCTTTCATACAATAAATAAACTTACATATCCAATTCATTTCCCCTTATTGGATACAATGTGGCAAAACTTAGCTTAAGTCCCATTGATTCTGATGGTTCTACTTTAAGCAAGATTTAGTCTGTGCTATGCATTTATTTAAGTTCCTCAAATGTGACATAATCCTAACATTTGGTACAATGCATTGCAAAAATTGTGGGACGCGGGTGGCACTGTGGGTTAAACCACAGAGCCTAGGACTTGCCGATCAAAAGGTTGGCGGTTCGAATCCCCGCGACGGGGTGAGCTCCCGTTGCTCGGTCCCAGCTCCTGTCAACCTAGCAGTTCGAAAGCACGTCAAAGTGCAAGTAGATAAATAGGTACCACTCCGGCGGGAAGGTAAACGGCATGTCCGTGCGCTGCTCTGGTTCGCCAGAAGCGACTCAGTCATGCTGGCCACATGACCCAGAAGCTGTACGCCGGCTCCCTCGGCCAATAAAGCGAGAGTCGGCCATGACTGGACCTAATGGTCAGGGGTCCCTTTACCTTTACGTATTTATTTAAGTTCCTCAAATGTGACATAATCCTAACATTTGGTACAATGCATTGCAAAATAACAATCTCATATTTAATGGGATAATTATCCCAAAAAGTCCAGCTACAATGTGCCATGGGGGGGGGGGGCGAGCTGCAGAGCCGATATAGGATAAGAAATAAAACTCAGTCCTGCCTTCTTCCTGATCCCCTATGTTTGCCCTTGCAGAGCTGGTGGTGCTTTGTCTGACTGCCTAAGGTGCATCCTGAAATGATAACTTTAGGGCTATGAAGCAGGGATTCCTTCCCCGGGGAGTTTGCCTGGTGCCAGCCTAGGTATCTTTTAGGCACTGGGAGTTGGAGTCAACTAAGTTGTTCTGCTACTGGAAGTCGGCCTGAGGATTCAAATTAGTGCACTGGGACTTCCCCATCTCCCTCGCAATGCCCCCCACCTCACCCAAATCCACTCTGAAGGATTGGGAGAACCCTCAGATTGGCACATAGTGTTACCAGACAGGACAATTGTCATAGCGCAACATTGAATTCAACTCTGGGCAAAGACTCTCTCCGTGCTGTTGCTTGTTGTATGCTGTTTGTCTTAGCATGCTTTACAGTGCTTTGGAAGTATTGATGAAGGGCAATATTGATTTTGTAGAAAACAAACCAACAGGGTCTAGCTGGCCACTTTTGGAGACAGAGTGATGAACGAAGAGCCCTTTCGTTTGATGCCATAAGGCAATTTTTGTGCAAGTGATAGTTCACATATGGACAGATTCCCTAGACTTAAAAGGAAATGTGGTCCTTTCAATTATGCTAATGTCTTGTAATAAGGTAAAGGTAAAGGACCCCTGACCATTAGGTCCAGTCGTGACCGACTCTGCAGCACTCATCTAGCTTTATTGGCCGAGGGAGCCGGTGTACAGCTTCTGGGTCATGTGGCCAGCATGACTAAGCCGCTTCTGGCGAACCAGAGCAGCGCACGGAAACGCCGTTTACCTTCCCGCTGGAGCGGTACCTATTTATCTACTCACACTCTGACGTGCTTTCGAACTGCTAGGTGGGCAGAAGCAGGGACCGAGCAACGGGAGCTCACCCCGTCGCGGGGATTCGAACCGCCGACCTTCTGATCGGCAAGTCCTAGGCTCAGTGGTTTAACCCACAGCGCCACCCGCGTCTTGTAATGATGTCCACCAAATTCATTGCCAGCTCTGGTTGTCATGAACACGATCGTAACATTGAATTCTGCTACGGACCATTCTGATATGGGGCCAGATTCAGCTACCTGGTCCTCCTAGTGAAAGCCCACACAAGGACTTCTGCTAGCACAATGGGGCATTCCCCTCTCCACGTGCCTTTGGGGACGGGGTCAGGAGATCCCTTAGAACAGTACTCATGTGGAGGAGAGGGGAGTTTGTTTTGTTGGGCCAGCAGAGATGCTTTCACAGAAGGAAAGGTAAAGTGGGTGGCGGGTGATGCTGTGGTCTAAACCACTGAGCCTCTTGGGCAGGCATAGGCAAACTCTGGCCCTTCAGATGTTTGGGACTACAATTCCCATCATCCCTGACCACTGGTCCTGTTAGCTAGGGATGGTGGGAATTGTAGTCCCAAACATCTGGAGGGCCAGAGTTTGCCTATGCCTGCTCTTGGACTTGCCGATCAGAAGGTTGGCGGTTCGAATCCCTGCGACGGGGTGAGCTCCTGTTGCTCTGTCCCAGCTCCTGCCAACCTAGCAGTTCGAAAGCACACCAGTGCAAGTAGATAAATAGGTACCTCTGTGGCAGGAAGGTAAATGGCATTTGGCGTGGTGTTCCGTCATGCCAGAAGCGGTTTAGTCCTGCTGGCCACATGACCCGGAAAGCTGTCTGTGGACAAACGTCAGCTCCCTCGGCCTGAAAAGCAAGATGAGCGCTGCAACTCCAGAGTCGCCTTTGACTGGACTTAACTGTCCAGGGGTCCTTTACCTTTTACCCTTTTTTTAACCACAGAAGGAACCATGTCCTGGGATAGCTCAGCGTCATGGATTCAAGCCCCACATTGCATAAAGATTCCTGTATTGCAGGGGGTTGGACTAGATGACCCTTGTGTTCCCTTCCAGTCCTACAGTTCTGTGATTTTGTGACCCTATACCACTTTGAGCTCCTTGGAGGAAAGGGACAGAAACGTAATAAAATAAGCAATAAACATTTAGAACAGCGCAGCGTTAAACTCCTCCCGTGACTGCTTGTTGTTGTTAATTCAAGCATTTGAGCCGTCTTTTCCCCTCACCTCATAGGTAAATATTACATTGCTACTATGACAATGATCACAGCATCCACAGCACTGACCATCATTATAATGAATATCCATTACTGTGGATCAGGAGCCAAGCCTGTCCCACAGTGGGCGAGGGTGGTCATCTTGGACTACATGTCAAAGATCTTCTTCGTTTATGACGTTGGCGAAAACTGCACAAGTTTGCAACGTGTCAAAGAGCAGGACCCAAAGGTGGAAAAGACGAATAGCGCTTGTCGAAAAGACCAAGACAGATACGAAGGGACGAGGAGGCCACTTGCCAAGATCCAGCACAGCAGCTGTGACCTCAAAAAGAAGCCCCCAGGTGATGTTTGTGACGGCAGTGGAGTCCCAGGTGAAAATGCCAGGGATATTGTTAGTTGCTGTTCCTGCTACAGAATTCTGATAAAGAATATTGAGTATATCGCTAGCTGCGTGAGACGCCACAAAGCCAACCACGCCAAAGGAGTGGAGTGGAAGAAGGTAGCCAAAGTGATGGACAGATTCTTCATGTGGATCTTTTTCATCATGGTCTTTTTCATGAGCGTTTTGGTCATTGGCAAAGCACTTTAAGGGGAAATGCAACCAGGGCCGCATATTCCTCAAATGCCCCCATGTTATATTAAAAGAGCTTCGCCCGTGATGAAAGTGGATGACGTGTCTCCCCCAACCCTAGAACTTCATTCTTATCGAGTCTTCTCCAATTCCACGTGGGGGCAAAACATGTGCTTTCAGGATGAAGGTCTGCGATCTGAACCACACCTGACTTGGAAATAAACTGCACGGTACTTCCTTCCAAGTAAATGAGTACAGAACAAAAGTGCATATGTTTATAGTTTTCCCTACTGTGATGGACATTTCCTGAAAGGAAGAAAGGAACTATAGAAGTCCAATTATCTCCAACAAAAACCACTTTGGTCAAGGACAGAGTCTTAGACCTGGATCAAGGAGGCTGATCTCTATATGTACCTGTCTGTCTGTCTGTCTGTCTGTCTATTTCTCTCTCTCTCTCTCTCTCTCTCTCTCTCTCTCTCTCTCTCTCTCTCTCCTTCACTGAGCTTGTTAGATGGTTTCGTGCAAGTTTCTATCCCTCATTCTCTCTCGCGGTGGTGGTCAGGATAAAATTAGATGACTGTACGTTAAGCTCAAGCTCATTGGAGAGAGCAGGTCTGATAAATGCCATAATGAATTCTTGCATTGAGTGGGTTCTGTGATTCTATTATTGTACATATCCACATTCATCAGCTTGACATCTCATCATCCAATTATGATGGCTATGAAAGATGCTTAGATTAATCTTGTATCTTGCCCCTTGTTACTTGTTTGTATAGTTAATGTAAAAAATAAACATAATAAAAAGCAATGCCTTTTAAACCAGCAACCTTTTGAAAATTTATAGATTTAAGGTTAACTTTTAAACTAACAGCTTGCAACATCAACTCCTTTTAAATGTTTTTGGTCCTGCCTATATTTGTCTAACTCTTTCATTCTTTTCCTTTTTTCTCTGCTGTCCTTTCCCCTCTCTCTATCCTTTTTTCATTTTTCTCCTTATGCCTCTCTCCAGATCATGGAGAGTGGCAACTCATGTGCAACCCAACATGTGTGAGGGTGCAACCCACGAGTATTTAAAATGAATTATGTAATGTGACTGTAGAAGTGCCATATTCCTAAAATCTTGTTTTGTGTGTGTCCAACTTGTTTTGTGTGGCTTTTAATTCCTCCTGTGCTATTTGCAGGACAAAAACCTGGAAATGTGTGTTTGCCTATTACATGGAGCCCATTCAGTGAATTCAGGTTTTATTACTGCAGCATGCTGCAAATTTGCCGATGCAGCCTAGGTCATAAACTGATGCTGTTAAGTATTTCCATTCAGCCAAGTAAGGTACCTGTGTTGTAGGTTTGGAAACCCTGATATTCTAGACAGGCAAATTCAGGGTGGCACTGAAAAGAGATCGCAGTCCAGAGGTCATGCGATAAAACTCATTTTCATAATTGTTGTAGCTAATGGGGAGCACGCTGGCAAAGCTGTCATTTAAGATGCCGTGGAATCCAACCGAGCTTGCAAAACTATGCCTTTGTCATTGTCGTTTGTCCCTTCCACCCCACCCAAGATCTCTTCGGAGGAAGGCGATCTTGGACGATCGTATAAATGAAACATAGAATTTGTAACGGTAGGCTTGGCCTTTTGTGCAGAATAATTAAAGATGTAACTGTATCGGGACTCTCATGTATAATGCAAGCCCCAAAGGACAGGTCGGATGTTAAAGGAGCATGCGGCGAAGGGCCACATTAAGTGCAAACTTATCGATTACAAGGGGTTGAAAAATACCCACTTTCCTCTTTCACAAAGAGGTATGAACCTTGAAACGGGTATACCACAACCAAGAGGCGTTTATAACTGGCCACGTGGGTACAAAGCAAGTCTATCAGTTTTCCTAATACCGCAGGAGGCATCAGTAGGATACTGATTTTTATAACAAAATGAGTCAGGGTGCTTCTTCTTCTTTGGCGATTCCTCGTAGCCGAGTAAGATTGTCTTCCATGAACACGGTTTTAAGAGTGAGTCCATACGTGACTGTGGGGGCCAATTCTGGATCCACACATCCTTCCACAGTGGGGACATAGTTTCTGGGCAGGAGTTGATCACGGTGAGGGCTTGCCAAGCATGCCTTCCTCTTAGCACATTTCTCCCTTTTGTCCTCAGTTCAAGCATCTTCAAAGTCCATGACACCTTTGGTAAAGGCTGTTCTCCAGTTGGAGCTCTTGCAGGCAAGTGTTTCCCAGTTGTCGGTGTTTATACTACATTTTTAAATATTTGACTTGAGAGAGTCTTTAAAACTCTTTTGTTGATCTCCAGCATTACGCTGTCCATTTTTAAGTTCGGAATAGAGTAGTTGCATTGGAAGATGATAATCAGGCATCCAAACAACATGACCAGTCCAATGAAGCTGATGTTGAAGAATCATTGCTTCGACACTGGTGATCTTTGCTTCTTCCAGTACCCTGGCATTAGTTTGCCTGTCTTCCCAAGTGATGTGTACAATTTTTTGGAGACACCGTTGATGGAATCTTTTGAGGAGTTGGAGATGGCATTTATAAGTGGTCCACATTTCACAAGCATACAGTAAGGTGTTAGGATATTTCCGTTCCACCTTAAAAGGGAGCAGGCTGTGAGTCACAGAGTCTGCGTATTTCCTGTTCACAGGATGTTTATGTTTTCTGTTGCTTTCGTTTTCTCTCTGTGTCGTAGACACTAAAGCAGTCAGTCATGTTTTTCTGTGTTCTGATCAACGCTGACATAAACTTAGTAAATAGATGCTCTCCTGACTGCAACTTTTGGCTGTGCGTTATCTGCTGATAGAGTGTGCATGAGCTCTGGAATGTGGCACGATATTTTCTAGAAACTCCTGTCGTTGCGTGCCTGCGGGAGGTCGATGGATCGTCCGGCAGACGGCTTGAGGTGCCTTGATGGACTTTATCTCCCTGGCAGTATCCCAACAACAGGTTTCGGGCCCAGATTCACGGCACTTACAGGAGAGTAAGACTGCGACAGACTGCTGAAAGGTATGTGGAGGAAAAGCGAAAGTGAGGCTTTTCGTTGCCGCGGCAAAGTCTTATTGATGTCCGGCAGGACTAATGGATCTGGGAGCCGCGCCAAAGGCTTTGTGATTAATGAGCTGCTGAGATAAGACGTCTCTGAAGTGAATAAGACTCACGGCTCAAATAAAAAGCTGGAATGGAGTTTTTCCAAGCTTCTGAGGCTGCTGAGTGCCCAAAGCTAAATCGGCACAATTATGGGACCTGGGCAAAGTGGTGTGCAGAGTTTGCTGCGTCAGTTTGGAGTGTGGCATACTGCTGTGTGAGGCCCCTCCAGTTGCCCTGCTGACAGATGAGATGGAAGGCCTGAAGAATGCTGCCAAGGCGTAGTAGACCAGTAGATAGTTCTATATCCGATCTCTCATGGAGGAAATTGAAAGACGCTATGCTGCAAGACTCTTCTGCTTGTGAGATTCTGTGGTATGATCTTGTACATAGCTCTCTCAATTTTGGACTATCATGTCAGATTTCGAGCCTAGAATGGTTTGACTAGCATTCTGAGTGTCGCTATGTGCTGCTTCCCAGAATGCTGGTCCACCATGCAGGGCTTGCCATGCCCGTGGGCAGCTCGGCTGCAACCCGGCTGCAGGGAGCTGACTGTCGCACCTGGCATCCTAGGCAGCTAATTACGCAGTCTGAGAAGAGCCCTGCTGAATCCCATCGAGAACAGAATCCTGTTCTCACAGTGGCCAGCTAGATGCCTATACAAAACCCTCAAGCATATACTTTCCAATACAGTGGTACCTCAGGTTACATATGCTTCAGGTTACAGACGCTTCAGGTTACAGACTCCGCTAACCCAGAAATAGTGCTTCAGGTTAAGAACTTTGCTTCAGGATGAGAACAGAAATCGTGCTCCAGTGGCACGGCAGCAGCAGGAGGCCCCATTAGCTAAAGTGGTGCTTCAGGTTAAGAACAGTTTCAGGTTAAGAACAGACCTCCGGAACGAATTAAGTACTTAACCTGAGGTACCACTGTACATATTTACCACCAGCAGGCTCTTGCACCTTTGCTAGTGCTATGTACAGACATTTGAAATGCCCAGTATTATTGCCTCCTGCCCTAACCCCACCCCAGTTGTGCACCAACTGAAATGTCTATGGGTGCTTCAAGGTGGGGGTGCTTCCTCCCAGCTTCCCCACACGCTGCCCACACACACGCCTGCCCACAACAGGACACCTGGGCTACGCCACCCGGAGCCTCTCAGCGGCCTGGTCTCCCTGTCCCCTGCGTGTCACTGGCAGTCTTTGTATAGGCGGCGTTCCCTGCCGGCAGCCCCCTTTATAGGCTCTCCCCTCATGCCAGCCAAGGCCAGAGCAGGAGTGTGAGGAGAGGCAGGCAGTGTGCCACAACTCTGCCTCCTTTCGCCGCCTCCTCCTCCCTTACCTTGGAAAAAAAATAAAAATTATTTTTAAAAAAACATATTTTTGCCATTTTGTCACCCCCCTCAGTGATGACACCCAGGGCGGCCTGCATCCACCTCACCCCCTTCCTATGCCTCTGCCTTCAGATGTCTTCTAAAAGTCAGATAGTTGTTTATTTCCTCGACATCTGGCGGGAGGGCGTACCACAGGGCGGGTGCCACCACCGAGAAGGCCCTCTGCCTGGTTTTCTGTAACTTTGCTTCTCGCAGTGAGGGAACCGCCAGAAGGCCCTCAGAGCTGGACCTCAGTGGGTGGGGGTAGAGCTGAATGACGGAGGTGGAGATGCTCCTTCAGATATACTGGGCCGTTCACGGGGCAGTGCTGGATTAAATCCTGTGGCGGCCCCTTGGTGGTCAAAATCTGGGCGGGGGGCAGGCCTCGTGCACATGCTAGAATAACATTGAACTAAGAAAACATGTCATTTTCTTTCAAGATCAAATCAATATTATTTTGATCCATTGTTGTGGAACCCCTAAAAAGTGTGGGGCCCATAGGCCAGTGCCTCCTCTGCCTATTTGGTAATCCAGCCCGGCCCCTTTGGCTGCAGGAGAGAGGAGAAACGGAAGTTGAGGGACACATCCTGATGTGCTGCAGCTGTTCCCCACAATGAAATGGAAGGCTCAACATTTGTCAGGCACTTTCGGATGCTCAGCAGCCCTGTGTGGTTACAACAACCCTGTAAAGTAGGCTGGTGCTATGTGCTCCCCAAATTGCAGCTGAATCCCTCGCAGATTGGCACCCAACCTCTGCTTAAAAGCCTCCAAGGAAGGAGAGTCCACCACCATCCCAGAGAGTCTTAACCATCAGAAAGTTCTTCCGAATCTCCTCTCCTGCCCTCCCCTCTGGAGTAGCAGAAAGCAAGCTTGCTCCCTCTTGCAGCCCTCAGATATTGGAAGATGGCTCTCCTCTCAGTCTCCTCTTCTCCAGGCTAAAAATACCTAGCTGCCTCAACCGTTCCTCATGAGGCTTGGTTTCCAACTGCCTCAACTGTTCCTCATGAGGCTTGGTTTCCAACTGCCTCAACGGTTCCTCATGAGGCTTGGTTTCCAACTGCCTCAACCATTCCTCACGAGGCTTGGTTTCCAACTGCCTCAACCATTCCTCACGAGGCTTGGTTTCCAACTGCCTCAACTGTTCCTCATGAGGCTTGGTTTCCAGACCCTTCATCATTCTGGTCGCTCACCTTCCAGCTGCTCAATGTCCTTCTTCAACTAGCCTGCACTGACTGGCAGCAGCTCTCCAGGATTTTGGATGGGGGGGACATTCCCAGCCCACCCCGGATATGCCGCCCAGGACAGAAGAGCTACATGCAAAGCAGCTGGTCCAATCCTGCGCTATGGACACCCCTAGCCTGCCTTGAAGGATGTGGGGATGGTCTCCCTTTGGAAATGGGGCTGCAGGAAGAAGGATGTGAAATGCTGAGGTGAATCTGCCAAGAGAAGATGCAGCCCAGCTGCAGGCGGAACAGCAGGTGCCTCCAGGTTCTGACAGTGGAGCATCATCTCTCAGGAGGAGCCAGGTCCAGGTGGGGGAGGGGTTGCCATGGTGAGCTGCCCTCCTTTGTGACATCTCTTGCTTCTCCCTTAAAAGCCACCAACTTGCAGGTGGCCATTGTGGGTTAGTAGTGAGGCGAGTTGAGTAGTAGAGAGGTGGTGGTGGTTGGCGAGGATAAGGAGAGGTGTTCATTTGATTGTTATGTTGATTGTTATTTTATTTATTACTTTTATTTGATTCATTTGATTTTATTTATTTATATTTTATTATTTTACTTTTTTATTTTAACACTTATTTTACTTTTTTATTTAAATTTTTGTTCTTTATTTTCATACAGTGGTACCTCGGGTTAAGTACTTAATTCGTTCCGGAGGTCCGTTCTTAACCCGAAACTGTTATTAACCTGAAGCACCACTTTAGCTAATGGGGCCTCCTGCTGCCGCCGCGCCGCCGGAACACGATTTCTGTTCTCATCCTGAAGCAAAGTTCTTAACCTGAAGCACTATTTCTGGGTTAGTGGAGTCTGTAACCTGAAGCGTATGTAACCTGAGGTACTACTGTATTTTGATTTTACATTTTTATTTTGTGCACATTTGTGCACATTTTGTATATATTTATTTTGTGCATAGAGTAGTTAGGGGTAAGTGTAGGGTTAGGGCGAGGGTTAGGCTTAGGCTTACGGCTGGGATTGGGTTTGGGGTCAGAGTTAGGCTTTGGTGGGCATTTTAAATACTTAGCTAGTTTAAAGAGGAGGGTGGGAGTTTTTTGTGAACAAAATGTGCAGACTGTAAGTAGCATTCCTCTGCTTTCTCTTGGTCTCCTGGGGGCAGGGTGTGAGTCCTGGGGTCCCCTGCACAGCCTTAGCTCTCTGGAAATTGACCTGACCAGTCTTCTCCAGAGACCTCAGCTCCTCCACACTCTTTCCCTGCCTTCCCCTTTTCTCTCCCCACGCATCATTTACATTTTCTAGGACATTCCTAGCCCACTTTCCTCCCAGGAGCTCAAGGTGGCCTTCATGGTTCTCTCTGCCACCAATTGTTATCTTCACAGCAACCCTGCAAAGTAGGCTAGCCTAAGGTCCACCAGGGAGCTTCATGGCTGAGTGGGGATTCGAACGCTGCTCTCCCAGGTCCTCCTAGTCCAGCCCTCCAATAGGGCAGTAAGTATCAGAACTGCATGGCAGAAGTAGGAAGCTTCAGGCCTTCATTTTGTCTCTTGCAGTCTAGGCTAAAACATGTTTCTTCAGAACTAGATATGACTCAATGAGACTAATTCAAAAGTAGTTCTTCTTCTTCTTCTTCTTCTTCTTCTTCTTCTTCTTCTTCTATTCATTTATTAAATTTATATACTGCCCTATATCTGGGGGTCTCAGAGCAGTTCACAGAATAAAATAAAGATATAAAACCACAAAATTAAATTAATGAATTAATTAATTAATAATAATAATAAACAACCCAATAGCCTCTCCCCCAGCCCAATAGGATTGAAGAGCAAGCTTAATACCAAAGAGCACACATTTAAGCTCCAATAAGGTTTCTGTCTCATACAACACGGGTTTGTGTGTGAGAGAAAATTAAGAGATATACATAGCTGCATGTAAATAGTTATGAGAAACATTCTGTTTTCCAAGTTTTGTCACATAGCTTTAACAGTACGTAGATCTTGGAAATACCAAAAGGAGGCTGGTTATTATTTTGCCAGTCCTTCGTAAATACAGAGCAGTGGTTTCGGAAAGACCTTTTTCCGTCCTCCCGCCTTCCCTTGATAGTTTAGACATAGCAGCATATTCCACAGTGCAAACTTCTAAACTATTTGAAAACGAGAGAGCTCCCAGCAATGCTTTGACAGGGGCAATGGAGCAATGAAGGCTCCCCCTGCCGCCAAGAAAGGTAAGCTGCTCAATAGAGCTACCAGCTTTTTACTTTCAGTGCTGTTGGTTATTTTGGACGGGGGGCTGGTGGTTTGCAGGTGTATTCTGCAATGTAGAATCACAGAATCGTAGAGTTGGAAGGGACCCTGAGGATCATCTAGTCTAACCCCCTGCAATGCAGGAATATGCAGCTGTCCCATACGGGGATTGAACCTGCAACCTTGGCACTATCAGCTCCACGCTCTAACCAGCTGAGCTATCCAGACGTGTCAGTGGGACGCAGGTGGCGCTGTGGTCTAAACCACTGAGCCTCTTGGGCTTGCTGATCAGAAGGTCAGTGGTTCGAATCCTCGTGACGGGGTGAGCTTCCGTTGCTCGGTCCCAGCTCCTGCCAACCTAGCAGTTCGAAGCACGCCAGTGCAAGTAGATAAATAGGTACCACTGTGGCGGGAAGGAAAATGGTGTTTCCGTGCGCTCTGATTTCCGTCACAGTGTTCCATTGCTCGAGAAGCATGACCTGGAAAGCTGTCTGTGGACAAACGTCGGCTCCCTCAGTCTGAAAGTGAGATGAGCACCACAACCCCATAGTCGCCTTGGACTGGACTTAACTCCCAAACTCATCCTGAAGCTGTGTTTCCCAAACTTGGGTCTCCTGCTGTTGTTGGACTACAAAGCCCATCATCCCTAGCTAACAGGACCAACGGTCAGTGATGATGGGAGTTGTAGTCCAACAGATTGAGAAGCATTGTCCTAAAGTCTGAGCATTTAAAATCAGAAAGAGAAGTGGAGAAGCCACATACAGTCCATTTTCTTACCCATACAATGGAGCTTATGTTGCAGGGTGGCGGGGATTAAGTATGTTGCAGTAACACATTAGTTCCTTAGTTTAAATTTTTTCGCTTTGAAAACTAAACAGGTCCCATCCTTGTCCCGCCGTCAGCTGCATCATAATGTGCAGGCAGAACAATGCATGTTCTAAAATGCATTTGGCCACTAGGGGGTGAATGTGCACTATTCTTTCTCTGCGGATAACAATTTTTAAAAAGATGCACTCCTTTGGGATTTAATTTTGGGTACTTGCTGGATGACGCCATTGAATAGGAGAGTTTTGAAGCCTTATCTCAGTTTAGAAAACATGTGGATGCTGTCGCTAATTGTCCCTAAGTGTTTCGTTTTGAATTGGGAAGCCGCTGGTAATCTCTGTCTTTCTAAATATACAGATAAATAAGGCAGATGCAGTTATTTATTTATTAGCACTCTATTTGGAATGTAGGATGACACGAAGTGGTTTTATCTTGTCAGCTGCTTTTTTTGTCCACGTAGCCCAGAAATGTGTGCTCTGGCGGGCAGCACCAACACAGGGTATGAGGCAGAGGCCTTTTGCATCATCTGCTACATGAGCCTTTTAACTGGAAATGAAAAGAACAGCACCTTCAAAGCAAGTTCTCTGTCACTGAGCAGTGGAATGGTTTAAAAGAAAAGAAAAGAAAGAAAATCAGGGAAAAGAGGAAGAGTATGAATCTACCCCAGCCCAGAGAGAGGGAGATCTCCACTGGAGAAGCTTTACTGTGGCATTTGAAATCTTCTCTAACACATACACAAAAATAGGGTGGCCATATTTAAAAAAGTAAAAACCGGGAGCTTTTTCTAGACAAACCCCCAAATTGATGAGTTTTGGTTTTTTAAAAACAAAACACCAAAAAACCTAAGATGCAGGACAAAGCGCTGCCTTTTGGAAATTCCCCCCGGACATCAATTCCGCCTTTGAAAATCTGGTAATGTCCAGTGATGTATGGCAGCCAGACACAAAAAGGTGCAGAAGTTGTTGTGCTGTACACACTAACCTTTTGAATCACATTCGAGACACGTTCCTTCCCTCAAAGAATTCTGGGCGCTGTAGTTTCTCGAGAGTTGCTGGGAATTTAGCTCTGTGAGAGGTAAACTGCAGTGTCTACAATTCTTTGAGGTGCTTTGGATGTGCTTTAAAGGAATATTGAGTACACAGCCAGGGTAAGGCTGCAACAATACTATGCGCCGTTACTTGGAACAAGGTCCACTGAACTCGGTGGACTGTGCTTCTGAGTAAACATCATTGTTAGGACCAACACAAAGATCCTAATGGAGCCTAGCCTTCCAATGACCCCATAGGATCCTGTGTTGGATGTGCAAGCCGTTTTAGATGGGAGGTTTGAATTCAAAGTGATTTGGGTCCCATTGACTCTGAACTCAGCTACACAGCTGCAAATAAAACATTTTAAGTCTGCTGTAAAGTGCAATATACAAATGTGACACTAGATGGCAACAGTGAGCTACGGCAAATTCAACATATTTTTCAAAACTTTTTTTTAAAAAGCATTTTCACGGCCTTTTTTATATGTGTGTAGACCCCAAGTCAATGGGACAAAATTCAATTGAAATCCCTATGCTGTGGAATCAAAACCCCAATCTGATTGGCTAGATTAATCCAATAACCCGATCTCTGCCGCTCGAACCTTATAAATAACAGCAGCTGCAAAATGCTTTCCATCACGCCTCCCTTCACTTCCTTGGTGGGCCTTATTTTGTATTTTTGTTGTTGTTCTGTTCATCCCAAGTGAGAGGAAAACCCCATCCTGGATCAGGGAGGCAGGACTGTGTTGGCTAAAATCCAACGGCTGCATATGGTCTATGCTCCCAGTTTGTTTTGCTGCCACACCAGACAGCTCTAGAGACCCGTAAGTTGAATTATGTGTCAGATGAGGAATGAGGGGGAAAAGCATGGAGTGATTTCCCTTTTCCCTGCAAGGCTGATTCCAAGGCATTGGCTAGCTCTTTTCAGCTGACGTGAGCTGATGGGAGGATTTGAGAATCCGCCTTGCCGGCCGCAGGTGAGCAGAAGCCCCTCTTGGGCTTGTCGAGAGGCAGAGCAAGTCATGCGGCCAAGCCGGGCAACCGAACAACCACGTCAGCAGAAACGCGAACTTGGTAACAGGTTGATATTGCGGTTGCTAGAATCAAGGCTGCGAAAAGCCTGCCCAGAATCGAAAAGCCTGCCCCACACCGGGGAGGCTGCCAAAACAAACAGAGCCTTGTGCAACGTACAACAGAGTGCCCTTGCACTTGATCTCTTTCTTTTGCAGAAATCAGTCTTCCTAGAAACTCCCTCATGGACTAGATCTCCTTCACCCTGGGACACTCTCAAAAAACAAGTTTAGTTGAATGAGGAACTCTGCTTAGGGAATGAAGCATGCTTGTAATTTTATTTGCCCTGCTTTCCTCTGTTAATCTTAAACTCTCTCTCTCTCTCTCTCTCTCTCTCTCTCTCTGTGTGTGTGTGTGTGTGTGTGTCTTGGGCTTTATGCACACATTTGCAGCGCATTTCAAGCATACAACCTGCTCCGAATCCTGGGAACTGTAGTTTGCCACGCACCAAGCTACAGTTCCCGGCACCCGTAACAAGCTATCATTCCCAAAATAATTTGGTGGTGTGTGTGTGTGACATGTTTTAAAAGTGCTCTAAATCTGTGGTGTGTATGCAATCTTGTGGTGGTAAAATCAAAAGCTTAAACGAAAGTGAGATGGTTATAATTTCCGAACATTTTCCTGTTTTAATGGAGCTGGGTGGAGGAATCTCAAAATTTGATTAATAGAGCTATCATGCAATAAGTAAGAAGAGTGAAGATACTTTTATGCTCAGAATGGAACAGTAAAAGGGAAAAGGGAAAACAATACATAAGGTGTAACAATACATAACAATACATTGGGTAAAAAAATACATAAGATGTTGTTTTTCAGAGATTGTGGATTTGTCTATTTACTACATGAACTACTGTCAGGGAACTGACATCGGAGCTAGAGGTGGAGGGAAGGCTCTCTAATGATGCTGGAGAAGGGCCCAGCAGGGAGAGAGGCAGCTCAGCAGATGGGGAAGCAATTCAGTGCAACACCAGGAATAAGGAGGGGCAGATGGGGGAATCGGCGAGAGGGCTCCAGGACTCTTCACCGGACACCAGCGGGGAGAGCACTGGTCCTCCGCTACCCATGCCCTCCCTGCGCAGAAGACTTCCGCGCAGAGAAAGTAGGAGGAGACTGGGTGTCAAACAACTTTTATGTTGGAAAAGGTTTAAGAAACGCCCACTGACGGATTCTGCTAGCGACTGAGGCAGTCACGAATTGAAGGGCTGGCCAGACAGAAAGGTTTAACCAGGCAACATAGCCAGGAGAGGCGGCAACTTACGCACGAGCAACCCCATACCATTATAACTACCACATTAATGCAAGGACTCGTGGTGATGTACATAGTTCCCCCTCTTTCATTTTATCTTCAAAACATCCCTGTGAGGGAGATTAGGCTGAGAATATCCCAATGAGCTTTGCATCTGAGTGAGAATTTGAAATCTGGCCTCTCTGGTCCGAGTCTGACACTCTTAACAGTTAGGGTTGAACCGCAAAACTGATTCTCAAGTTCCCAAATTATTATATTATGTAAAATGCATTTTAATGGGGAGAACAGGTGAAGACAGCTGCCTAAGAGACTGGTAAGCTGTTGCCAGTCAGAGAAGGCACTACAGTGGTACCTCTGGTTACAGACTTAATTCGTTCTGAAGGTCTGTTCTTAACCTGAAAATGTTCTTAACCAGAAGCATCACTTTAGCTAATGGGGCCTCCTGCTGCTGCTGCGCCGCCGCCGCGCAATTTCTGTTCTCATCCTGTTCTTAACCCGAGGTACTATTTCTGGGTTAGCGGAGTCTGTAACCTGAAGTGTATGTAACCCGAGATACCACTGTACTGAACTAGATGAACTACTGACTAGTCTCAGTATAACTTAAGGCAGTTTCATATCTTCTTTGGCGATCACTCATAGCCAAGTAAGATTGTCTTCCATGAACACGGTTTTAACAGTGAGTCTGTAAGTGACTGTGGAGGCCAATTCTGGATCAACACATCCTTCCACAGTAGGGACATAGGTTTCTGGGCAGGAGTTGATCATGGTGAGGGTTTGGCAAGCGTGCCTTCCTCTTAGCACATTTCTCCCTTTCCTCCTGAGTTTGAGTGTCTTCAAAGTCCATGACACCTTTGGTAAAGGCTGTTCTCCAATTGGAGTGTTCACAGGCCAGTGTTTTTGAGTTGTCGGTGTTTATACTACATTTTTAAGATTTGCCTTGAGAGAGTCTTTAAAACTCTTTTGTTGACCACCAGCATTACGCTGTCCATTTTTAAGTTCAGAATAGAGTAGTTGGTTTGGAAGACGATAATCAGGCATCTGAACAACATGACTAGTCCAACGAAGTGGATGTTGAAGAATCATCGCTTTTACACTGGTGATCTTTGCTTCTTTCAGTACACTGGCATTAGTTGGCCTGTCTTCCCAAGTGATGTGTAAACTTTTTCGGAGACACCGTTGATGGAATAGAATCTCATATCTATCTATCACTTATCATCTATCTATCTATCTATCTATCTATCTATCATCTAAAATAAATGCTAATCCATTTTGAGAGTTAGAAACTAGAAATCTTTCTCACATACAAAAGCCACAGTCCATCACACGGTTAAGCACAAGCCAGCCCATTAAGTTTGATGGGTTTAAGTGCTGGATCGTGGCCATGAGAGATTAACAAAAACAGCCTTGTCAGACTTTTATCGCCAGCTTACTCTGGGAGCGTTTCCAGCTTTTCATACGTCGACTTTGTCTCCCGAAGCTACATCTCCTTAAGAGCAATTTTATCTATAGTGGGCAAATTACTTAATTGCATGCTATTAAAATAAGAGATTCCAGTTTGAGTACAAAGCTCCAAGGTTCAAAGTTGTAGGTGGTTGGGTTTTTTGTGTGTGAAAGAAATTAGGTGAAAATCTTATCGGCGATCTGTAGGACAGTTTGAAGTTTCGTTTCACTCTGCCGCATGAAAGCTCAACAGATTCTGTGTTGTGCAACAAAGAATCTAGGTTTCATATTTTCAGAACTACAAGTAACACTCGCTCTCTTAATACTGGCTGGGATCCAGCATTCCCCCACTTGGATCCCCGCAATGCTATATCAAAAGCTGCTTTTAAAGTTTCCTCACCCAGATCATAGGCTTTGGGAAGGCAACACAAGGGCTATGGGGTGTGTGCAATGTTGTCAAGGGCTGCCAAAAAAAGGCCTCGAGGGCCGCATGTGGCCCTTGGGCCACGCATTAAACAACCCTGCTTTATAGCATGAAGCCATCCCTGAAATTTTGATTGCGGAAGTCCTGCTCAAACGTGCGTGTTTCCCCAATAGAATTAACAAGGATTCCTTAGTGCCAGGAGAGTCTGATCTCTGAAAGTTTTGGGAGGGGGCTGTTACTGATCTTACTGGGTCCCACCAGGAGGTTTGGCTGGCAGGAAGCTGTGCCACTCTGTGTGGGCACATTGCTTTGAACGTCTTGAGAGCGACTCAGTGCCACGTGAGATGATGGCGTTGCTCCCAAAATGTTCCAGGAAGTGCAACTGAGAGGCCTGTGAGAAGCACAGCATTTTTATTAAGTTAGAAAAGCAGGGAAGAAATGAGAAACCTTTGTCTACCTTGTAAGATTCATAAAAGTAAATCATCAGCTGCCTCCTTAAGATTTCAGAAATAAATTGCTCCTCACGCCCTCCTGTGGTCTTTCAGGAGAGTTTTGTTTTGTAGGGGTGCCAAGTAAAAAGCAGGACACCCCGAAAGTGTTGAGCAAAAGCTACGAGAATTTTGAGTTCTGCAGCTGTTTTTGGCATTTTCGTCACGATTTAACCCCCGTTGCCGGTTTTCCGGGACATTTGCCCGATTTCCGAGAAATACAGTGGTACCTCGGGTTAAGTACTTAATTCATTCCGGAGGTCCGTACTTAACCTGAAACTGTTCTTAACCTGAAGCACCACTTTAGCTAATGGGGCCTCCTGCTGCTGCCGCGCCGCCGGAGCCCGATTTCTGTTCTCATCCTGAAGCAAAGTTCTTAACCTGAAGCACTATTTCTGGGTTAGCGGAGTTTGTAACCTGAAGTGTATGTAATCCGAGGTACCACTGTAATCCAGGATGCTATTTTGGGGGGAGAATTCCAGGTCATGTAGCAGTGGGAAGAATGGAGTTAGGATTTCTGATTTCCTGCTTGGATAACCACTTTGTTACTTGCATAGCTCAACCCAGGTTGGAATAAAAAGTGTTTGGACCACACATTAATTAACCACAAAACTGTCCATATATCCTTATTATCATGCAATCATGGTGATTTGTGCTCATGATGGTATCAGGGTGGTTATACACAATCCCACTTTCAAGACTGCTTCCGCTCTCAAAAGTTTTGTGCCAGAGGTATCGTTGCCCATTCGTCCAGATCTGGCGCTTCTCCAGCTGATCATGAGAACTCTAAACCCGGGAAGACAAATGAATGAATGAAAGGAAAGCAAGAGTGATGGAGAGCTGGACTTTCCAGATTTCCCTTAAATCCAAGCTCAGCCATGAAGCTTATTGTATGGCTGTGGGTGGGTCAGCATCTCTTTTGGACCCAGAGGTTCTTGCGAAGATAATCCAGTATCTGCCAGCCTAAGTTTGGAGGATGGAACGGATGCAAATGTGATAAATAAGATCGCTCCCTTTGGTTAGCAGTTCTGGGGCTCGCTTTTCATCTGACCTGAGACAATACTGTTGGGGCACAGAATCTACTGCAGACCAGATGAAATAATGTAATCATTTAATAGCCCTTTTCCAGCCATGACCTTTGCTCAGTGAGGCAGTAAACACTGAAACAAAAACCACATTACCTACCTAACTAATTGTTTTAACAAGATATGTTAATGCATTGCCCTAAGTCTGTGTAGGACATACTTTGAGGTGATCAATGGGACACGGGTGGCACTGTTGTCTAAACCACCGAGCCCCTTGGGCTTGCCAATCGGAATGTCGGCGGTTCGAATCCCCATGTCGGGGTGAGCTCCCATTGCTCTGCCCCAGCTTCTGCCAACCTAGCAATTCGAAAGCACGCCAGTGCAAGTAGATAAATAGGTACCATTGTGGCAGGAAGGTAAATGGCGTTTCCGTGTGCTCTGTCTTCCCTCACAGTGTTCTGTTGTGCCAGGAGTGGTTTAGTCATGCTGACCACATGACCCGGAAAGTTATCTGTCGACAAACGCTGGCTCACTTGGCCTGAAAGCGAGATGAGCACCGCAACCCCATAGTCGCCTTTGACCAGACTTAACCGTCCAGGGGTCCTTTACCTTTACCTTTTTACCTTTAAGCAGATATGTTAATAAATTCCCCAAATGCACTGCACTAAATCTGTGTAGGCATATTTTTAGGTGATCAATGGGGCTTACCTTTAGAAAAGTGTGTAGTACAGTGTGCCCATTAATTCTGCAATTGATTGTAGTATATGAATTGGCCTGAAACCTTCTGTCTCATTCTTACAGAAAGGGAAGCTGTTTCTCATTCCTTTTACACCAAGCTGCACCCAGAGATTTGTGGTCTCCCATGCAGTCAAGCCGAGGAATCTTTAGACTTTGGACTCTTTGGGCAATTTATCTGTGTTTCCTCTATTAAGTTTGTACTTTGTAATCAGTCTTGGGTCTCTGATGCCTCGCATCTGGGAAGGTAGCCTGGTGCCCCGGGGCGGCTGAACTAGATGTTCCTTTCAAAAAGCAAATTCAGGGACACATTGACAAACTGGCCTGAGCCCCACCCAGACCTCTTCCAGAGTCTTAGACGGTGGCACGAGGAAGCAATGAGCTACTAAATTCTTAGTGATATAAATATGAGCAGTCTGAATTGTACCAGCATGATCAAAGGACTAGCTCTCCAAACATTTGGTTGATAATCAATATTTTTAGAAAAGGAGGAATGCAGCAGCCTGCCTGCTGCTGATGTCGAGCCCCAATGTGTCGATTGGAAAGTGGCAGGACTGGGAATCTGGTGGAGCCAAGATGTTAAATACAGTCAGACCTTGGTTGTTCAATGCCTTGGCTCTCCGACATTTTGGCTTCCAAACGCCACAAACCCACAAGTGAGTGTTCCGGTTTGCGAACGTTTTTTGGAAGCCAAATGTCTGATGCTGCTTCTGTGGCTTCTGATTGGCTGCAGGAAGCTCCTGCAGCCAATCGGAAGCTGCGACTTGGTTTTTGAACCATTCCGGAAGTTGAATGGTCTCCTGGAACAGATTAAGTTCGACAACCAAGGTACCACTGTACTAGAGTTTCTGAATCCAGATAGGTTTTTCAGACTGCCATATTCACCCCACTTACCTGAAAGTGAGCAGCATCAATTCAATAGAATTGACTTCTCAGTAGACAGGGTTAGGATTACCCTCAGCAGATTAATTTGTGGTAATCTATCCAATTCCTGGGGTAGCCAATCCTGACCTCAGTGGATTTGTGTCTGTCTGAATGAAGGAATATCTAGTCTACAAATCTGTAGCTGTCTTGTATCAGTTTAGCGACATCAATTTCCTTCCCAAAATTCCTGGTGTTCTCCCTTAGCTTTGTTTAGATTTGGCCTTTGTATATTTGGATAGTCCTACCTGGAAAATGGGCTTGGCGAGGTGGGAGATTTCATAGAATCATAGCGTTGGAAGGGACCCTGAGGATCATCAAGTCCACCCCCTGCAATGCAGGGATATGTAGCAGTGTAGGGATATGCAACTGTCCCATATGGGGCTAAAACCTGCAACCTTGATGCTATCAGCACCACGCTCTAACCAACGGAGCTACACTGGAAGTTGTCATTTGGTGAGATTGCTGAAAATGTCGTTTGGGGGTCCCCAATCTCCCTCTCTGAACTACAATTCCCAGAGGTCTGATTGCTACGTCAGTCTGTATGTGGCACGACCTTTGCTAGGGACGCGGGTGGCGCTGTGGGCTAAACCACTGAGCCTCTTGGGCTTGCCGATCGGAAGGTCAGCGGTTCAAATCCCCACGACGGAGTGGGCTCCCATTGCTCTGTCCCAGTTCCTGCAAACCTAGCAGTTCGAAATCACACCAGTGGAAGTAGATAAATAGGTACCGCTGTGGCAGGAAAGTGAACGGCGTTTCTGTGTGCTCTGGTTTCCGTCACAGTGTCCCATTGCGCCAGAAGCAGTTTAGTCATGCTGGCCACATGACCTGGAAAGACAAACGCCGGCTCCCTTGGCCTGAAAGGAAGATGAGCGCCGCAACCCCAGAGTCACCTTTGACTGGACTTAACCATCCAGGGGTCCTCTACCTTTTTAAAAAAAAACCTTTTACGACCTTTGATGTGATTAAACTGCTCCCTGGTTTTCTGTTAAGCTGACTTGGCTTCCATGCTAGTTGCGTGTTACGCTCCTTGGGTATCGAGAATGAAATTACTGGCTCTACAAAGCTGCCCTTTGTTACTTTTATTTACTAAATCGTCCCCTTGCGGGTTTTTCCAGTTTCCTCCACACCATATTATTTCTTTCTGGTTTCATTAATACAAACACCTTTTAATGTGCTTTTAATTTCGTTCATTCACTCCGTGTCTCTTGCATTCCTCTGCCTTGACTGTCAGTGACTTATGCATGAAGAAGAGACTTGTTTTGCCGGGCACAAGAATAACTGTGGCTGACATTAGTGAGTATCAGGAATCAATATGGGAACACTTGATCAAATCTTGTGGAACAGGTCTGCGGAATTATAAGTCTATTTTGGAGGGACATGTTGAGGCATTCTACAGTTTTTTCCGCAAAGTATCTCAACCCTTTGAACCATTTCATCCATTGTAGAGGAAATTATTAAATCCTGGTTCTAGGGGCATTTAAGACCTCAGGCTGGGCTCTCTCTCTCTTTCTGCCCCAATTATTCACACCTAGATACAATCTTAGACATTACACTCAGGGCACATCAGGATGACCTGCTTTTTGAACATTCATCCTGATTTGCTTGCAGGAAGATTAGACGACATTTGCTGTTTAATTGACATTCATTCTGATTTGTTTGTGGGGAGGTTCGATGGGTCTAAATCTTGTCTTAACACTTTTATTCTTTCTCTTCTGTAAAGCGGATGACAATGCCAATTCCATCTCATGTGAAAAGTGCTATATAAATGAAGGATTATCCTGTAACCTGCCACCTCCTCCTTTCCGTAACACCTTGACTTTGACACCACCCTTGCTTGACATTCTTTGCCGCAAAAAAAGAGAGAAAAAGTTATTAGTTTATTTAGAATTTTCCCTCCCAAGATTAGCTGGAAATTCAGAAGATAATGTAGCTGAGATGGAATTTTTAATTTCTGCTGAATAATCATTCAGCAAAAGGCACACCCTGGAACAAAGTTGCCATCAGAAAGACACACTCAGAGGATGGGGACTTCCTTGCTTTTTCCTTCATTCCATCAAGTTTAAAGTGAGATTGCCAAGTAATGTAGAATAGGCTGAAAGACACTGTTTCACCAAAGATCACCCAGTGAGCTTTATGAAACCCTAGTAAGCAATAGCAATACCCCCCCTCCCAACCCATCCCAGAAAAACCCTTTCAGAGAAACGTTAAGACATCAAGCTTTAGTAACTATGAACCCCGAAATTTGGGATCACTTCCAAACTGGTGCTAAAGTTGTGTACTTGTTTTGTGCTGTGAACCCTGAATCTTGTACCTTCCCAGAACCTGAGTAATTGACACATCAAACCAGGATGAGATTTTTAGGTGTTAACTACAAACCCCAGTGTGATAAATCAATTGCTCAGTTTTGAGGGGCGGCACAACTAAATGTGGAGTTTGTGCTACAAATCAATACAAAATGAGTACAAAACTTTGGCACCAGTTTGGAGGGGAATCTCAAATTTCAGAGTTTACAGACCCTCCAATTGTCCCTATTTTCCAGGGACATCCCTGGAAGCCATCCCAGTTTCTTATTTGATCCCGGAATGTCCCACTTTTCCTTAGGATGTCCCTCTTGTCATTGGAGAAATGTTGGTGGCTATGGAGTTATCCAATCCCCAAGCTGTCTGAAGGCAATCCTGTATAGGGAAGTGTTTTGGTTTTTTAAATGTTCAATGTTTTTCTGTGTTTTTATAAATCCTGGAAGCTGCCCAGAGTGGCTGGGGCAACCCAATAATATTTGTGGGGTATAAATAGTAAAATTACCATTATGGAATGGAACGTCCCTATCTTCATCTGAAAAATGTTGGAGGGTATGAGTTCATGGTTAATAAAGCTGAGAGACCAGGGTTCAAATACCCGCCAAGCTCACTGGGATTTAAACCCTGATCTCTGAAAGTTTTGGGAGGGGGCTGTTACTGATCTTACTGGGTCCCACCAGGAGGTTTGGCTGGCAGGAAGCTGTGCCACTCTGTGTGGGCACATTGCTTTGAATGTCTTGAGAGCGACTCAGTGCCACGTGAGATGATGGCGATGCTCCCAAAATGTTCCAGGAAGTGCAACTGAGAGGCCTGTGAGCAGCACAGCATTTTTGTTAAGTTAGAAAAGCGGGGAAGAAATGAGAAACCTTTGTCTACCTTGTAAGATACATAAAGGTAAATCGGCAGCTGCCTCCTTAAAATTTCAGAAAGAAATTACTCCCCACCCCCTCCTGTGGTCTTTCAGGAGAGTTTTGTTTTGTAGGGGTGCCAAGTAAAAACCAGGGCACCCCGAAAGTTGTTGAGCTTTTTAAAGACGAACCTCAAAGTTGTTGAGCTTTCTTCAGTAAAAGCTACAAGAATTTTTGAGCTTTGGAGCTGTTTTAGGCATTTTTGGCAAGATTTAACCCCCATTGCCGGTTTTCCAGGACTCTTGCCTGATGTTCAAAAAATAATCCAGGATGCCATTTTCGGGGGAGAATTCCAGGACATGCCCTGGACAATCAGGATGTATGGCAGCCCGAGACTGTAGCAGTGGGAAGGAATGGAATTAGGATTTCTGATCTGCTGCTCGGACAACCAATTTGCTACATGCATTGCTCAATCCAGGTTGGAATAAAAAGTGTTTGGACCACATGTTGATTAGCCACAAAACTGTCCAGATACCCTTATTATTGTGCATTCATAATGATTTGTGCTCATGATGGTATCAGGGTGGTTTTAAGACCCCCAAATACAGTGGTACCTCGGGTTAAGTACTTAATTCGTTCCGGAGGTCCGTTCTTAACCTGAAACTGTTCTTAGCCTGAAGCACCACTTTAGTTAGTGGAGCCTCCTGCTGCCGCCGCACCGCCAGAGCATGATTTCTGTTCTCATCCTGAAGCAAAGTTCTTAACCTGAAGCACTATTTCTGGGTGAGCGGAGTCTGTAACCTGAAGCATACGGTATGTAACCTGAAGCGTATGTAACCCGAGGTACCACTGTAGTTGAGTTTTGTTTTACAACAAAAACGCCAAAAAACCACAATTTTTTGATTGACTTACCAAAGATCCAGGACAAAGTGCCACATTCCACCTTTGAAATCCCGGTGACGTCCGGGCAATTCTGGACATAGAGCAGCCCATTGAATGAATGGCCAAAACAGACCGTTTCAGAGCAGTCTCTGTCCAAAGCTCTACAATGCCTGGGCCCAGCCCGGGACCAAACGTAAAGCAAACAACAGGTTATCGTGACAAACAGGGCGGCTTTGATTAGCTGTCACACAGTCTTTTTAACAACACCCTGTAAAGCAAAGGGAAAGGGGGTGGGGGTAGGGCAAGCACTCCAGCAAGACAAAAGGTATCTGGATTCCGGTAATTTGGTGTCTGTGCTTTACCAAAAAACAAAACACTGCGGTGGTATTTGCTAAGCTTTGCAATTCCAGAGAATTGTGCAATTATGCAACAACCAAAGGAGGAAATGAATCCAGGGTAACTAAGCCTCGGAGGAGACATGTGAGACTCCACAAGCAAGTCTTCCTTTTCACCATGCGCCATTATAATGGAAGAAAGGCTGGATACGCAAGAGTGGATAAATAAATAACCATGATTTATGTCTTTATAATTACCCAGAGGCATACGTCACCCTTCCCCCCACTTTTGTACTCTCACTTATCTTCCTTCTCTCCAAAATAAGGTGTGACAACTGCTGGTGTAACCCACAGATAGATGGTCATGTCCATACCATGCCTTTCAAGCACATGTCTTTCCCCCCAAAGAATCCTGGGAATGGAACTCTAAGGATGCTGGGAAGTCTAGCTCTGTGAGGTGTGAACTACAGTTCCCAGGACTCTTTGGGAGGAAAGCCTCGTGCTTGAAAGGCATGGCGCGGATGTGACCGAACATGAAGGATGCTCTCGGTTTCCTAACTCCTTGGATATCATTTTTGCAGCCCTTACATATTTTGGGAACAGCAGTCCTTGGGATGTAGTGAAAAATATTATGATTATCATGGCTAAGGTAAAGGTAAAGGGACCCCTGACCATTTGGTCCAGTCGTGACCGACTCTGGGGTTGCGGCGCTCATCTCGCTTTATTGGCCGAGGGAGCCAGCGTACAGCTTCCGGGTTACGTGGCCAGCATGACTAAGCCACTTCTGGTGAACCAGAGCAGCGCACGGAAATGCCGTTTACCTTCCCACCGGAGTGGTACCTATTTATCTACTTGCACTTTGACGTGCTTTGACGTGCACTTTGAACTACTAGGTTGGTAGGAGCAGGGACCGAACAATGGGAGCTCACCCCGTTGCGGGGATTCAAACAGCCGACCTTCTGATAGGCAAGTCCTAGGCTCTGTGGTTTAACCTACAGCGCCACCTGCGTCCCTTGATTATCATGGATACTGTACAGCTAATTTACAACATGAATGAAAATATGTACAACATTGTACATATTGTGCACACATTGTATACGTTGAGATCCGTGGGTATACAGTATACAAATGTAATAAATAATAATGGCTCTTTGTTGTTATTGCTGATCTTACGTTCTCAAAATGTTCTCAAATGAAGGATCCAGTCTGTGCATCAGCACCCAGTTATGTACAAAATAAGGAATTGCAAGGAGACCATCTTCCTTACAGCAATAGACCAGTCCACCCGGCCAGAGAAGAATGGCAGATCAAGTTGATGGATTATGTTGAAATGGCTAAAATGACTGGAAGAATCAGAAACCAGGAAGACTAAAATTTTAATAAGGAACGGGGGAAATTTATAATTTATCTTTAAAACCATTGTAAACAGTTAAAATTGTTAGCAGGATTGGAATAACACTTGTAGTCTAATAGTGAATTTTGGATATAATGGAGATGTAAAAGATCTGGATTATTATAAAAGATGCAGGAGGAAATGACTAACAATAGATCCCGCAAAGGGGAGGAGGGAAGTCCAGGAGATTATTTGGAATCTTATTTTTATGATGGATATTGGTTTTGTGATTGTAAAACTTTAATCTGAAAGACCAAATAAATAAATTTATATATATATTCAAAAATGAACTTAAAAACAAAAACCAGTAATGCAAGTAACAGTTGCAATGTAGTACTTTGTTCCTTCGTTGTCACAGAAACTTAGAAGTGTGGGATGATCATAAAGTGCAGCAATTATTAACAGAGGCCACTGTTTCTGAAGAAAATACTGTTTGAAATGTGGTCTTTTCTGTGCATGGAGAGCAACTGGAGGCTTGATTTGTCTCCTGCAAGAGCTTGGAGCATCCTAGAACTCTTCTATGCACTTCCTTCGCAGGCTATTAAGTCCTGTAGGTGACACTGTTTTCTGGCCTCAATAGGAAGACCAGTGGGTCGGAAGCTGGGCAACAGCACCGGCTCTACCATCATCCAGAGTGAGGCAGCCACTTCAGATAGTGGATTTTGACAGGGATGGCAGCCCAGTGTCAGAGGACAGATCAACGTGCCCCGCTTGCCACACCACTCCACAGCTAGCCTGCTGTCTTCGGTTGGGGTGGCGGACACTGGTGGAATCTACACACATATTAAAAAACGCTTCGAAAATACTTTTTTAAAAAAAAGTTTTGAAAAATGCATGGAATTTTGCATAGCTCGCCACCGCCATCTAGTGTCACATTTGTATATTGCACTTTACAACGCATTTAAAGCATTTTTTTTGCAGCTGTGTAGATGAGCCCACTGCCCCATCTCCAGCATTGAAATAAGATCCAATTCTTGATCCGGTCAGCTTACAGAAGGAGGGTGGGCACCAACTTTTGCCTCAGGCAGCAAAATATACTGAGTGGGTGAATTATGCTGGATTGGCCTTCACCTTTCCTGAGATTCACAGATGGGGAGAGGGCAGAGGAAGGAGAAAGCCAGCCCTGCATATTTCTTCCTCTCTGCCACCATTGCATGCACAAACATGGAGCCACCCACGCTATCCATGTATTCCCGCCCTAAAGACGTAGAATTATAGAATTGTCTAGTAAGAAGGGACCAGAAGAGCCATCTAGTTCAACCCCCTGTAATGCAATAATCTCTTGTCCGATGTGGGATTCGAACCCACGACCCTCAGATTAAGAGTCTCATGCTTTAACAACTGAGCCGTCCCAGCAGACATATAGAGATCAGGGGTGTTGTCATATGTGGTCTATGCATGTAATGGCTCCATGCCCTCTACAGAAAACTGCCCATGACACATCAACCTGGAAAAAACAAATTAACTTAGTATGTATCAAAAAAAGGAATTGTGCCTCAGAGGCAGGGCTAGAAAATTAAATGTGGAATTTAAAATAATAGGTTCCCACTAAGCAGGTTTAAAAAACAAAACAAAACCCAAAATGATCTTAAACTTCTTTGTTTGGGATCAAACCACCAAATGCGTAGTAGTTTAAAGGCCACATATATGGTGTGTTTTTTCTAAACACACCTTCCTTTGTGGGAAAAAGTGATTATAAGTCTCAGTTTCTTTCCCCACAGACCACATGATCCGAGCTACTTGCGAAATGTTGGAAAACGAGTTTCAGATGGACTAAGTGCCAACTACCGACTGTTTCCTCCTTCTCCTCTGTGTACTAGCTACAAGGACAAAACAGCGTAACAAGGAAGTTTGTGTTCCTTGGGAGGTGGATTTGACCGAAAGGAGAGAGAGTTAAAAGCAGCGTCTCCTGTTAAATAAAATCCGCTTTAGAAAACCTCCCATTCCTTTTGCAAATCCCAACCACAAAGGCAATGGCATTGAGCACAAAAAAGGATCCTCAGAGATGTAAACAGAGAAGCTGGGTCGAGAGCACGTTGGGTTAAAACTCCCACCAATCTTTTCAAAATAAATTAACTGTTCAGTGTGGCTTAGATGCTGGTCATTGATCTTCCCACATTCGTGTGTAATCCTTTTAACCGATGCTCCCACCAGTCCCAGCCAGCATGCCCAATGGCAAAGTAGGATGGGATTTGGAGTCTGATGACAGCTGAGAACACCATGTTGGATGTTGCAAATGTATAGACCTTGCGCCCCATCAGAATCTCCTCTGTCCCCTGTGCCAGGAGACAAGGAGGGACTTGAAGCAACAGGAGCTGCGGGAGTTGCAGCACAGTAGTCTCTGGTGGCTTACGGGGCCTTGTGTTGGACAAGGGGGCTCAAGTGAGCTGAAAGGGGCATGGCGTGCTGTTGTGCCAACGAGTCCGGGTCTTTGCACAAGTCTGAAGAGGTAGACACCTAACTAGCTCCTTAGCAAGAGTAAAAAGATAAAGGTAAAAGACCCCTCCCCTTCATGGATCACTGCCCCTTCATGGATCACTGCCTTGCCGTGGCGAAGGGGCTTGAAGAACTCAGAGAAGCTATGAACTATGCCGAGCAGGGCACCCAAGATGAACAGGTCATAGTGGAGAGTTTTGACCAAACGTGATCCACCTGGAGCAGGAACCGGCAAGCCACTCCAGTATCCCTGCCAAGAAAACTCCATGGACAAAGACAACAGGCATATAAAAGTTATGACACTGGAAGATGAGCCCCTCAGGTCGGAAGGCGTCCAACATGCTACTGGGGAAGAGCGGAGGACAAGTACAAGTAGATCCAGAGCTGATGAAGTGGCTGGGCCAAAGCCGAAAGGACGCTCAGTTGCGGATATGCCTGGAAGCGAAAGGAAAGTCCAATGCTGTAAAGAAACATATTGCATAGGAACCTGGAATGTAAGAACCATGAACCTGGGTAAGTTAGATGTGGTCAAAAGTGAGATGGCAAGAATAAATATTGACATCCTGGGCATCAGTGAACTAAAATGGACGGGAATGGGCGAATTCAGTTCAGATGACCATCATATCTACTACTGTAGGCAAGAAACCCGCAAAAGAAATGGAGTGGCCATCATAGTCAACAAAAGAGTGGCAAAAGCTGTACTGGGATGCAATCTCAAAAATGATAGAATGATCTCGATACGAATCCAAGGCAGACCTTTTAACATAACAGTAATCCAAGTTTATGCACCAACTACTGGTGCTGAAGAAACTGAAATTGACCAATTCTATGAAGACTTACAACACCTTATTGAAGTGACACCAAAGAAGGATGTTCTTCTCATTATAGGGGATTGGAATGCTAAAGTAGGGAATCAAGAGATAAAAGGAACAACTAGCAAGTTTGGCCTTGGAGAGCAAAACGAAGCAGGGCAAAGGCTAATAGAGTTCTGTCAAGAGAACAAGCTGGTCATCACAAACACGCTTTTCCAACAACACAAGAGACGACTCTACACGTGGACATCACCAGATGGGCAGCATCGAAATCAGATTGATTATATTCTCTGCAGCCAAAGATGGAGAAGCTCTATACAGTCAGCAAAAACAAGACCTGGAGCTGACTGTGGCTCAGATCATCAGCTTCTTATAGCAAAATTCAAGCTTAAACTGAAGAAAGTAGGAAAAACCACTGGGCCGGTAAGATACAATCTAAATCAAATCCCTTATGAATACACAGTGGAAGTGAGGAACAGGTTTAAGGATTTAGATTTGGTGGACAGAGTGCCTGAAGAACTATGGATGGAGGCTCGCAACATTATACAGGAGGCAGCAACGAAAACCATCCCAATGAAAAGGAAATGCAAGAAAGCAAAGTGGCTGTCCAATGAGGCCTTACAAATAGCGGGGGAAAGAAGGCAAGCAAAATGCGAGGGAGATAGAGAAAGATACAGGAAATTGAATGCAGATTTCCAAAAATAGCAAGGAGAGACAAGAAGGCCTTCTTAAACGAGCAATGCAAAGAAATAGAGGAAAACAACAGAATGGGAAGAACCAGAGATCTGTTCAAGAAAATTGGAGATATGAAAGGAACATTTCGTTCAAAGATTACCATAATAAAGGACAAAAGTGGTAAGGACCTAACAGAAGCAGAAGACATCAAGAAGAGGTGGCAAGAATACACCAGAAATTATACCAGAAAGATATGGATGTCTCGTACACCCCAGGTAGTGTGGTTGCTGACCTTGAGCCAGACATCCTGGAGAGTGAAGTCAAATGGGCCTTAGAAAGCACTGCAAATAACAAGGCCAGTGGAAGTGATGGTATTCCAGCTGAACTATTTAAAATTTTAAAAGATGATGCTGTTAAGGTGCTACACTCAATATGCCAGCAAGTTTGGAAAACTCAGCAGTGGCCAGAGGACTGGAGAAGATCAGTCTACATCCCAATCCCAAAGAAGAGCAGTGCTAAAGAATGCTCCAACTACCGCACAATTGCACCCATTTCACATGCTAGCAAGGTTATGCTTAAAATTCTACAAGGAAGGCTCAAGCAGTATGTCGACCGAGAACTCCCAGAAGTGCAAGCTGGATTTAGAAGAGGCAGAGGAACCAGAGATCAAATTGCAAACATGCGCTGGATTATGGAGAAAGCTAGAGAGTTCCAGAAAGACATCTACTTCTGCTTCATTGACTATGCAAAAGCCTTTGACTGTGTCAACCACAGCAAACTATGGCAAGTTCTTAAAGAAATGGGAGTGCCTGATCACCTCATCTGTCTCCTGAGAAATCTCTATGTGGGACAAGAAGCTACAGTTAGAACTGGATATGGAACAACTGATTGGTTCAAAATTGGGAAAGGAGTACGACAAGGCTGTATTTTGTCTCCCTGTTTATTTAACTTATATGCAGAATTCATCATGCGAAAGGCTGGACTGGATGAATCCCTAGCCGGAATTAAGATTGCTGGAAGAAATATCAACAACCTCAGATATGCAGATGACACAACCTTGATGGCAGAAAGTGAGGAGGAATTAAAGAACCTTTTATTGAAGGTCAAAGAGGAGAGCGCAAAATATGGTCTGAAGCTCAACATCAAAAAACGAAGATCATGGCCACTGGTCCCATCACCTCCTGGCAAATAGAAGGGGAAGAAATGGAGGCAGTGAGAGATTTTACTTTCTTGGGCTCCATGATCACTGCAGATGGTGACAGCAGCCACGAAATTAAGAGACGCCTGCTTCTTGGGAGGAAAGCAATGCCAAACCTAGACAGCATCTTAAAAAGTAGAGACATCACCTTGCCAACAAAGGTTCGTATAGTAAAAGCTATGGTTTTCCCAGTAGTGATGTATGGAAGTGAGAGCTGGACCATAAAGAAGGCTGATCGCCGAAGAATTGATGCTTTTGAATTATGGTGCTGGAGGAGACTCTTGAGAGTCCCATGGACTGCAAGAAGATCAAACCTATCCATTCTTAAGGAAATCAGCCCTGAGTGCTCACTGGAAGGACAGATCGTGAAGCTGAGGCTCCAGTACTTTGGCCACCTCATGAGAAGAGAAGACTCCCTGGAAAAGACCCTGATGTTGGGAAAGATGGAGGGCACAAGGAGAAGGGGACGACAGAGGACGAGATGGTTGGATAGTGTCTTCGAAGCTACAAACATGAGTCTGACCAAACTGCGGGAGGCAGTGGAAGACAGAAGTGCCTGGCGTGCTCTGGTCCATGGGGTCACGAAGAGTCGGACACGACTAAACAACTAAACAACAACAAAAAAGACCCCTTGATGGTTGAGTCCAGTCAAATTTAACTATAGGTTTGTGGTGCTCATCTCGCTTTCAGGCCGAGGGAGCTGGCGTTTATCCACAGACAGCTTTCTGGTTCATGTGGCCAGCATGACTAAACTGCTCCTGGCACAACGGGACACCGTGGCGGAAACCAGAGCACACAGAAAATCTGTTTACCTTCCTGCCACAGCGGTACCTATTTATCTACTTGCACTGGCATGCTTTCGAACGGATAGTTTGGCAGGAGTTGGGACAGAGCAATGTGAGCTCACTCCATTGCGGGGATTCAAACCGTCAACCTTCTGATCGGCAAGCCCAAGAGGCTCAGTGGTTTAGACCACAGCACCGAAAATAGCACCTCTGGAGATGATGCAATTGAGTGTTTTTCCAATAAAGAACTAGATATCCTCATTGGGGCTGGGTGTGCTCATTGGGGCTGTGTGTGTTCCTGGGGAAAAGCATCACACAACTATCAGTAATAAAGTGGAATAATGTGTGGATGGTCCAATATGGCACACACACACACTATCAATATCACCAGCCAGCCTATAATACCACGCGATCGGGAAACTTGGCTTGGCCTTCTGGAGCGAGTGGAGGAAGCAGGCATCTGTTTTTACATGCCTCAAAACAGGGTCTATTCCTGGCTTCATCTGAAAACAGCAGTGCCGTTAAGCAGTTTTAGACTCTGAGTTCCCTGCCCTCTTTGGATGGTAACGTGTAGGCCTTCACTGACTTGAACATGTGAGAAGGAGACCGCTCTGCAATTGGAGGACCTCCTGACCAGTGGTGTAGCTTAGGGGCGTGTGACCCTGGGCACACAATCTGGGTGTGAACCAGGCACACACACCCTGAGATCCCCCTCATGCCCTGCCGGCAGCGGGGGCTGGAGAGCACGGAGGGTGAAGATCGCTCTCTGCATGTCCCATCTGATGCACCTTCGCAGGGTCAAGGTTGACCCACGAGTCGGAGAACGGCTGTGGCGCTAGAGAAAGCTCCTGCTTTCTTGCAGGTGGTTCGGCAGCTCTGGCAGCGAGAGAAGAGTGTGTGGCAATGTTGGACCTGGGCATGCAAATGTGCCCCTGTGCTGCTGCCGCGGTGGGCTCCCTCTGTGCCCCACCTCTTTGGGTGATATTTACCTAAGCTCCGCCACCGCTTCCGATCATTCTTCTGAGAAGAGTCCCACCCTTATGGTTCCGCTGTCTGAAACGCCGAGGAAACAGCCGGAGAGACCCCGTTGTTAAAAGACAATTCTCATATGGATAACCATCTGTTTTTAAGGAATGTTTTATTTACTACCTCCTAGGAAAGTACTTTTCATGGAACAGCAGCAACACCGACATTCACAAAAGGACAGGAAATACAGCAAAAAAACAACAACAACGCCTAAAGTAAATAGCACATTTGAAAACAAGGCAAACATACATAATAATATCTTTTTCTATAGTTTGTTCTTAACCTAAGAAAAGTTCACATTTCAAGTCATAAACTTGCCTCAGTAGTGTATAAATGAAATGGTTTGTGTAGTCAGACCACTGAGTGGTGGTTCATTGACGCTTAAATGGCCTCGATGATCCCTGCTACCTGGTGTTGCAAGCCAGCACCTTTGCACCTGTCCGGAGTTCCTATGGGCATTTCAAAGAACATTCACTCGGTTATTTGTTGGGGATCTGCCTTTCTTACAGATGCTATACGCGTATATGTAAAATACAGTAAGAGCTTCCCTTCTGTTCAAGTACTCGGGTAGGTTGGCACAAGCAGTCCTGTTTGAATAAAGGTTTCAAAGATTGGGTCTCCCATGTGGGAGATGAAAAATTAAGGAGATAGTGGTGCTTCGTTTGAGCATGGTCACCTGCAGCTTTTACCACCGGCAACCAGTTTTACGAGAGATTTCACATAAGATAGCGGAATGGAAGATGGCGGAGAAAAAGTCTGCTTGACTAACATGGGTTAAATAAAGATTGATTCAGAAGGTTGCACTTGGAGAAGTGCCCAAACTTGTGTTGAGTTTCTCCATAGCTGTAGCCCATGAAAGAGGCCTAAAGTCCTACTTACGGTTTTCCCAGTTGGTTGGTCACTGTGAAAAAAGGACTAGATGGGGCTTTGGTGTGAGCTAGCGGGACTTGTCTTACATTCTTAAGTTTCTGTTGTAGTGGAAAAACCTGTGTCTTGACTGTCCTACTTCACATTGTACCGTAACGATTCGTACGGCTGGAATGCTCCCCGATTCAAAAAGAACACAGCGAAACGCAAAACCTCCCCAAACACTAGGTGTTGGGGGGTGAGGGGAGTTCTAGCCCAGCCGGCCATCCAAAATGCTAGGTTTTTTTATGAGGGCTAGGCTACCTTTTTGTTCAATTATTTGCCACCCTGCCTGAATTGTGGTAAAGGTAAAGGGACCCCTGACCAATAGGTCCAGTCGTGACCGACTCTGGGGTTGCGGCGCTCATCTCGCTTTATTGGCCAAGGGAGCCAGCGTACAGCTTCCAGGTGAACCAGAGCAGCGCATGGAAATGCCGTTTACCTTCCCGCTGGAGTGGTACCTATTTATCTACTTGCACTTTGACATGCTTTCGAACTGCTAGGTTGGCAGCAGGGACCGAGCAACGGGAGCTCACCCCGTCATGGGGATTCAAACCGTGACCTTCTGATCGGCAAGTCCTAGGCTCTGTGGTTTAACCCACAGCACCACCCGCATCCCTTAATTGTGCTAGTACCGCTCAAATTCAAATTTAACGCGCCAGGGGCAATTGGACTATGGTTAGGATCCAGGCTTTGAAGCAAACATATTTCAAGTGTGGCAGGGCTTTTTGGATAGCCACGTGAAAGCAATGCAGCTTGTGAAAAAATAAATAAAACCAGTAGTTAACGGTGGCCCTTTGAGGTAAGGTGTACCAGTAAGCCCTCCAGTTGTGGATATTTTAAAGGACCACCCATTTTTAAAAATAAAAACAATGACTGCTACTTATTTCTATAGCAATATGCTTTCCAGTTTGCCTGTAACATCGGGGTGCGGGAAGGATACCCTTGAGAATATTTTCATTTAGGATTTAAATTCTGGAAAAGTTTGCCGAGGAGAGCTGCCTGGATTCTGAAAACTGCACACAAAGCTCTTCTTTAATTCTAAGCGTTACCTAAGCTTCTGAATTCAGCCGTTTCCTTAGGCATCTGTACATACTGAATGCCTAGGTTGGGATCCCAAGATGCTGTCTTATGTGGCCTAAGGAATCCTACTCAAATCACTAGGGTTTCTGTGGTTGCTTCTAGCTCCAGCAGGTTCCCAGACTTGTGGGAGCATCTCTTTGGGGCAAATCGGTGGGAGGGTCTGCTGAAGCAGCAGCGTGGTTGAGTGCGAAAGGGCTCCCTTCATGGCCCCTTGGAATCCACTCATCATCTGTAGATTCATCTAAGGCACCTAAGTCCCAAGTGGTACTGGGCCATGTCACCTAAAGCCGACCGAACCACTCATTGCAAAGTTTACTGTATTTTACATTCACTGCACTACTACAAAAAAGCCTTGAAACAGGCCACAAAACACTGCAATAATATTACTTAACCACCTTCTTCTTCTTCTTCTTTAATAACCGTTGAAATAAAACATTGACTTTGTGGCACACCGCATTGCCGTGTAATACAGAGAAATAAAACGACTCTTAAAATGTACTGCAAATATATTTACAGGCTTAAAAAAAAAAAAGTGGTCCATATAACTTCCTTTTCCGGTGTACATGCACAAGTCCCATTAAATGGTAATGGGAACCACGTGTGGAAAGGAGAATAAGGCGAGAGAACAAAACCCACTTAAGTACTGTATTACTATGCCCCTTAACCTCACCACGAAACTGACGCAGCTACTTTAACAAGCAATATTTATGGTGAACAAGAGCATGTCTCGTCCTGGACTACACTAGTGTACATTCTTTTGTCTCTACAGCATACACTAGAAAAAGAACGAAGGTTTGAGACTATACTGGGATGCAGGGCTTGTTCACATTATGGAGTTCAAAGAAGTTATTCATGTATAAAGCGCTAAAGCAGGACATGAGAAAACCCAAAGTAGGAAAGGGAATCTACTATCCCCTTTGAATCTCTGCACGTGTGAGTAACCGGTGTATGTAGCGAGCTCCCACGTATCTGCAGATTTTCTTCTCAATCTGTTATAAAACTTAGAAAGAAGGCTGTGTGCAAATGTCATGATGCCATGCAAATACACAAAAAGGATCACCAACTGAAAGTAGCTAAGATATACTTAGGAAGCTGAGTTCTGGAGCCTTTTATTTTTGTCCTTAAAAAATAAAGGGACTTTAGTTCACATGAAAAGCGTGAAGATTGAAAGTCTAGTGTCATAGAGGTGGTTGAATAAGACTCCCAGCAGCCTATGAAAGCTGGGGCAATTCAATTCCCACACATAGCTCCCCGACTTTCCTAAGGACTTGGATTTTATGTGCAGGTCACAAAGGTTGACTTGCGTTGTTGGTGCAGAATTGATATTTCCTCATCAGGGAATCCTGACTTGTTTGGATTTGACGCAGAAGTACCACCACAGACAGTTACTTTTACCCTCTTACACGGACACCTTAGCACATGGCAGCGGCACAATTTCAAATTTCAGTGGTGCCTTGTGCGAGGCTAAAATTCAGCCAACCCAAAGAGGTCAAATTGGTAAGGATTTAGGATAAAAAAAAGTTATCCAAAGTTGAAACTATGGAAGCGGGCATCGAAGGCCACTGGTCACGAGTCAAATACCATGTCTAAAAAAATCTGAGAAAGATATTAAAAACCTCTTGACTCAGGGGCAAAATGGCCGGTATTCACTTCGTGAGACAAACAGCCCTTTAGTTCATTCTCACTTAGATTCAAGTTTTGGCTTAACCTCTATTTAAAAATGGAAGCTAAAGGCACAGAATATGAGTATCTAGAATAAATGCTGACATTTGCACCTTGGGATACAACACCCCTGATTCTCGGGTGCCAACTCTACCACAAAGTTTAACCATGGTTTCTGTGCTTGTATAAATGAAACCAAGGTACAGTTGCTACAAGACAGAAACTGCACTGGGTCAGGCTGGTATCGACTACTATGGAGTGGCACAGAGGTCACTTGCTACCCAATTCATTTTGTGTAGATGCCAGCGACTGAACGTGAGATTTCCTGCATGCAAAGTCACTGAGAAATAGTTCCTCCCACAGGAGAGCTTGGTTTCATGACATCTGAAGGCCTACTTTCTCATGAAGGAGCAACACCGAAGACAAAAGTTTGCAGATGGAGTTTGGAGCAATCTACATACTACAGGAGATGCTTCGGCTGCGAACGTGATACGTGCGGGAGGCATGTTTGCAACCCTCAGTGTTCGCAACCCTCAGCGCTGTGTCTGCACACGCGTGGGTCATGATTCGGCGCTTCTGCGCATGTGCAAAGCACGATTTAGCGTTTCTGCGCATGCACCAGTGCCGAAACCTGGAAGTAACCCATTCCGGTACTTCCAGGTTCGGCGCGGTGCGCAACCTGAAAACGCGCAACCTGAAGCGTCTGTAACCCGAGGTATGACTGTACTCACATGTGCAGTGATGCTGTAGGGTTCCATAAACCCTTAAAAATAAAAATCCTAGGGCAACTGCTCCTGTAGTAAATGAGCAAATTGGAAGAATATTTTCCTTCTATGAAATATAATAGACTTGCTTCTTGCTTATGCTCGGAGCCTGGAAAATATTAAAGAATGCTGATAAATATCTAAGGTGGCTCTATGGAGCAGGTTATTCTCAAAATTAAGCGTAGTTTAACTGAGCTAATTCATGGGAGCATCTTTATATCAACGAAGAGGGGCTTCGTTGTGGCTCCAGATAACAAAGAAACCATACAAATGCCAGGACGTAATGCAGAGGTCTCAGTCACTTTCAAATTGCACTTTCCAGTTTAACTTTTTAAATAAGACACACGTTTGTATATAATTTCTTTCTTTAAAAAAAAAATCTATTGCATGTATTCTTTAAATATGAATATATTCTTCAAAATATATTGTTTAAAAACTTTTCCCTAGCTGCTCAGATGCGCTTTTTCAATATTTAGTTGATATATTATTAAAGGCACTACAAAATAGAAATCTCTGGAGTGCAGAACTTGCTAAAAAAATAACCTTCATACCACAAATATGGTGAAAATAATTGCTAAAAACCTACCGCTGTGTAATAAACCTGCATAGAATAATGGGCATTGGAAAAACGAGCCGTTTTAGAAATGTAGGAATACAGGCATATTAAAATTTTTAAAAACAGCCTAAAAAGTTAGTAAAAACTTCATATGTATAAAAGATTTCAAACTCGGTGATATCGTTGATATGAACTTCACTTTCAGGTTTCATCAGCAGTTTTCTGGCATCCAAATGTAAGTCATCCGCAGTAGGTTCTTTCTTCATAAATAGTAAAATGTTCCTTCAATGCAATCCCATCCCACCCCTCCCACCCCAGACCCTCTAAACCCCCCCCCAAAATGGCCAGCTGTTTCAATAGGTTTGATAGACATCGTGGATCGGAACCTGAAATGTTGCAGCTGGGAATGCCTGAGGGATATAACTGGCATAGCCGCCGTAAGCGGCTGCAGCGGCTGCAGCAGCGGCATTCTTCTGTAGTGTGGCTATCGTCGCCGTGGCTGGGGCAGCGAAGGGAACGTAACTTGCGCCATAAATCCCCGCAGCTGGGATTCTCTGCACGTTGGGAGCCATCGTGTACACGGGAGTTAAGGGCCGGCCCTGGAAATGACAACGGTGAAATCTCAATCCCTGAAATAGGTATTTTTCACCCCAAGAAAAGAAAGAAAAAAGTCTGCTGCAATATAGAATGGTAGAACTGTCGAGTCGGAAGGAGCCACGAGGGTCATGTGAGACTCGAACCCACGACCGTGAGATGAAGAGTCTCATGCTCTATAGCCTGCATGCCACAGCATATTTTAGAAACCAGGCCACAACCTTTTTCTTGGAACAGTGAGAATTTGCTGTCTGTAACTTGGTCTCTTTCTGCCTTCCTCACACCAGCGTCTCTCAAACACCCTCAGTTTTGATAACATTTGGAGAATGTTATAAGAGGACTTTGTAATTCACTGTGAGGGGTGCTTTAGAAATAGGGACATGTTCTGATGATCATTGCTAGGGTTGCCATATTTTGAAGAGCAAAAAAAGAGGACCCTATGACGACTCTCATTTTAAATACCCCTACTATATGTAGGCTATAGAAGCTGTGATATATTGCTGAGGGGGGCAAGAGAAGAGAAGAGGAAAGCAACCACCAGTTATAGACATGTCTCAACCAGAAAGTATAACCAGAGACATTTTGACAAATTTAACCCACCCAGATGAAAATTTTACCCCTGAAAAAGAGGACGTGTCCTGGGAAAAGAGGACACATGGCATCCCTAATCATTTCCTATCCCCCTCAAAAAAACCTTTGAAATAATTTATGTTCAGATTATCTATCTTCGCACAATTGGATATGCCAGGTATTTGGTTGTGGCCCTGAAAATGTGTTGGTTTGGCACATCTATCCTGCACACACAGGGTGGGGAGATTATTGTTTTGTGCTGTTTGTATTTTTATGATGTATTTTGTCCTTGTATTTTTATGCTGTGAGCTATGGATGAAGGGCGGTGTACAAATTTGATAAATAATAACAATATGCTCACACCAGATCCCAAATGCAAAGTAAGTGAACGAACTTGGAGACAGGTTTTCTCAACAAGGACACTCTCTCAACAACAGCATGGCAAGAAGCCAGGCTTTCTATGTACAAGGAGGGATAATCCAGTAGAACCACCTTGATCAAAATTTACCTGAAAAGGAGGAGGGGTTGAAACAGAAGGTAATACGGCGGCGGCTGCAGCTGCCGCCGCACTAGCAGGATCCTGCTGGACAGCAATGGGGCTGATGATATGCTCAACGGCGTGGATTTTCCCATCTTCGATCATCTTTGCTGTTGGTGCTGCTTGAAACACGGAATACTGGGTACCAATAGTTGGGATAGCCACTGAAATAGACCAGAACAGGATATTTTCGGTCTACGCTTGAGACAATCATAATCCTGGCACTCTTAACTTGGCATTTGTTGTTGTAGCTTTTAATCTAGCGTGATACGTATGGGTTCCAGAGCACATTGTGGAATGTCATGGAACATATTCCTTTTCTCGGATGCTGTCAGGCGTCAGAGGTTCCAATCCCCACGGTAGGTTGCCAGGAACGGATATGACAAGGAAAGTTCTTACCAATGCTTTTATTCAATATTCACAGAGAGAGGCTTAGAAATGCAGCCTCTTAGGGTAATGGTGTTGCTCTGAGTGAAAACCCACCCATCTGCCTCTCCCATTATGTGTCATCCCTACGGTGGCTGGTCTGTGCCTTCTGCCTCTGTGATGGCCTGGGATTCGGACTCAGAGGCTGAACCTGAGGAATCCCAGCCTGCACAGGAGTCCCCGCCTCCAGAACCAGCTGAGCCGGGGCTGGGGCCTGAGCCTGAAGGGTCCTCACCTGTGCTGGATCCTCAGGTGCAGGCATCAGCTGAATCTGCTCTGGCTCCTGAGGTGATGGAGGACCCATTGCCTGCAGGTGCTCCACTCTCAGCCCCGTCAAGGGAAGAGGAGGTTGCCTCTGGGTCTGGTAACCTTCCAGCCTCTACTAAGCTGCAGAGGCTCAGGGCAGAGAGGCGGAGGAAACTAAGTTCCTGCAGGAGGAGTGCTCGCCTCCAGGCCAGGAGAGGCAAGTCACCTGTGGACCAGGGCCGCCCTATGCCTCGGGGCAGATATAAGCCAGTCAGCCCCAGTCCCAGGTTGCGGGAGCAACGTTGTTGCTAGCCTGTTCCTGCCTGCACCCTGTCCTGCCCTGTCCACCCGACTCCCCGCCTTGGACCCAGCTACAGCTTTGATGGACAGCCTCCATACCACACCATCAACCTCAGACTGGACTCGGACCTTGCCTCTTGGTTAGCCCCTGGGACTAGCACATGAGCTCTCTGCTCTCCTACTTTCAATGCCCTCCAGGTTCTGGGAGGGGGGTCTGGAAAGTTTTCAGCTGTTCCCCCTCTGGTGCTTCTTCTTCCTCCTCTCCCATTATTTTCCAGCTTTTCCTCTCATCTGCCTCTGAGCTGTGACCTCCCTCAAACCCCTGTTGTATTTCTGAACTGTCTTCTTCTTCTCTGGAAGGGTCAGGCTGGGAAAGTGGTCTCCACCATTCCTCCTCTGCCCAGTTCCTGACAGATGCACATGAAAGCTGCTTCTCTCTCTGATATGTGCATATTTGCTCACACGAGCAGGACACAACATTACTTGTGTTTTCCAACATGTTGGACCTAGGATGCAATCCAGTTTGATGACTTTGTGTGCACAGAGCTTTCCAAACTTTTCATGTTGGCGATGCACTTTTTAGACATGCACCATTTTGCGATGCAGTAATTCAGTTTTGCTAGCAAACCGGAGGTTAAACTAACTGCTTTCCAACCTCGGGAGGAACGTGGGAGCGTTTGCACGACACACCAACGTACTGCAGCCGACACGCTAAAGTGTCGCGACACGCAGTTTGCAAAAGCTCTGGTCTACACAGAAGGGCTTTTGCTTTGGCAGATGCCTCCACTAAGAGAGGAGGAGGGGAGGCCGGTTTCGCCCATTTGCTCTGCTTCCTGAAGCCCCTCACACCACCTTTCACTTTGGTTTGGAGGGTCCCCCAGATCTCAGAAGCTGATCTTCAGGGGCTGCGGAGGAGAGGGGGAATTGGCACTAGGGATGAAGGAGAATTGGCACTCGGGGTGTGGGAGGAATTCAATTCAGTTCACATTTGAAGTCAAACCTCCTTTCTGAAACAAGAACTGAAAGACAGCCACCCTTTGAAATGTGCACTTTTCCAAACTTCGCAGTGAAGTTCTCCCTCCAAGTAATGCGTACAAAAATAGAACACTTTGGTAAAGGGTGCATTAACAAATGCATACGTTGTTGAAAATAGTATACAAAAAACGCATTCTGTTAGGGGGAAATTGCTCTGCAAAAATGTGTATATTTAGGGAAAATTGCATATGAACATATGAATGTTAGGGGGAGAAATGCACTTAAATCTTGATGAATTTCCAGGAGGGCTTACTTCACCGACTGATGTGGAAATGGATTTAAGATTGGAAAAAAGGAGAAACAGGGAGAAACTGAAATTAGAACCATGGAATCACAGAATCGTAGAGTTGGAAGGGACCACCAGGGTCCGACCCTTGCAAGGCAGGACTCTTCTGCCCAACGCGGGATTCAAACCCACGATGCTGAGATTAAAAGTCTCATGGAATATGTCCAACTTTAATCGGCAGAACTTGCCTCTCCCCTGTAGGAGAGCAAAGAGCTCAAAGACGCCATCATCCACGAGGCTGGGTTCTATAGCCTCTCCCTGTAAAGTTTGGGGGGGAAAAGGACTGTAATAAACTTTTTCTCGT